AACTACCTTTCCACTATTAATAGAAAGGAGATCGAATTTTTTCTTGGAGACATAAACATAAACCTTATAATGACAATGATGCAAATAGGTCGCGTGCACGATGACCGACCCTGGAGGCAAAATATTGAAACACAACCTCACTCTTCTGTGAATTATCGAAACACAACCTCACTTTTTCATTTGTTTAGAGAGGAATCAAAAGGTTGAAATAGTTTTTCACAATATTTTGGCATACGAATCGTGTTTCTTGCGTTATTCATTAATTCAAGCATGCCTTCGCATTGTGCTGTAGTTCAATGCACAAAACATTCAACAAGAGACTAGGGAATATGATTTTTCAGGTAAATAGTAATCTCACATAGTTATCATTATGAAATGTTGTCATTCCTTATTAAATTTCCTTCTGCCTTCTGCCACTTCTGCAATACAAGCTAATACTGCTAATAAATTGAAAATGTCTACAACACACACGATCATCAGCATGTCAGACCAGTCCTCCCGATTGATTGCATGAATCCAATCTTCTTCCATTATTCTATAAATTTCAGGTATATTTCTATTAGCTCTTATTGCAGAAGGAATTCCTATGAGAAATCAGAGAAATAACCAAATTTCAAAAATGAAAACTATATGTGAGTGACTATAGTAGGTACTTACTTTTAAATCATAATGTACCATCCGGATTCCTTCATCTTCTGCTGCAGTTTTTGTGCATTTTACAACAGCGCAATGTGATGGCATGAGCGAATCGATGAATAGCGGAAAAATACGATTCATATGCCAAAATAATTGTGGAAAACTATTTTGATCACTTGTAAACAAATAAGAAAAGTGACGTTGTGTTTCAATGTTTTGCCTCCAGCGTCGGTCATCTGACAGTTCTTGCACGCAACCCATTATGTTGATTTATATGTCAAAAATTTTTGGGAGAAAGGATTCGTGTCTCATATAACAACACATTCACAAGAGTAACAGAAAATTCTAAGAGAATCATCGACCACATTTCCTTGATAACTGAAAATTCGATAAAAAATGTAACAGATATTGAACCGAATGGTTATACTTATTGATATATCTGATAATTTTGCTACTGTCCAAGGAATTCATTTTTTTAATAAAATCAATACATCGTCAAACCTCACTTATACAGTGTGTCCATTTAGTGCGTAATTCTTCGATATCTCCTGGACTATTGAATTTAGAGAAAATTCAAAAAGACTGGTTATTTAGTTTAATGGGCCACATATTTCAAAAATGTTTTCAGTTGTACAGGGTGTTACACAAAGGCTGGAGAGCTGAGAATGTTAATTTTTTCAATGGAATACCCTGTATATTTCGTTCGTTATCGATTCATCTCCCCATCGGCTCTCCAACCGTGTCGAGAAATCAAAAATCCGTTGCAGCGTTGTCAAATTATGAATTATTTATTGATTTTTACTACTACTGCAAAGTATTGACAAAATCAGTTATTGCTCACGCATCTATGACATTCAGTTGAATATTTCTTGTAGGCAGTAAAAGCAAGGTCCTATGAATATATTCCAATAACTTTTTCAATACCTTCATACACAGGGCCCATGATTTTGACAGTCAAATTTCATGAAGTTCAATGAAATTTTTCTCGATTTCTTCGAATGTAACACCCAGTATATTATATCGATAAATGAGACCTCTGCCTATACTCTCTACATTCATATAATATCTTTCTCATCACTCGTGGCGTTGTCAAACTGTACATATTTTTCTCAGAACATGTATTAAAGTAGGTACCCATTATAAAATTAAAATTAAAAAAATCATCATCAAAATCAGAGGAATTGTTCGAAATGTCTGCCATTGCGCTCGATGCAAGAGTTAATACGAGTGGTGAAATTTTCTCTAACTCTTGCTAGGATCTGTGGGGTGATACTAAGGAAAGCTTCTCGTATCCGTTCTTTCATATCTTCTATGTTGGTGGCAGCTGTGCGATAAACTCTCAATTTGACATAACCCCATAAACAGTAATCCATACTAGTCAAATCAGGAGATCTAGCAGGCCACTCAATTGGACCCCCTCGCCCTATCCATTTCTGTGGAAAATTTAATTCAAGATTGGCCCGTACTTCTCGATGATAATGTGCAGGGGCTCCATCAAGCTGGAACCACATATCTTGTTTAATTTCCTGTGGGATATGCTGGAGCAGATTTGGTACATTTTCTTGTAAAAATTGTAAAAATCTTTCTCCCGTCAGATGGTTCTCAAAAAAAAAATGGCCCAATGACATAATAATCATGGTATATACCACCCCAAACATTAAGAGACCACTTATGTTGAAAATTAGAAATTGAAATGGCACGGGGGTTCTCGGTATCATAAAAGTGGAAATTGTGACGGTTTACGAAACCATTTCTATGGAACGTTGATTCACCAGTAAATAAAACTTTCTTGAAAAATGACCGGTTCTCTTCTATTTTATTTCTCGCCCATGCACAAAAAGCAACTCGTCTTTGAAAATCGTTCTTGGTGAGTTCTTGATGGAGTTGGGCGCGATATGGATGGAACTTGTGATTCTTCAGCGATTTTGATATCGAGGATTTACTAATATTAAGATCTCGGCTGATTTCTCTCACGCTCAATGATGGATCCTCCGTAACTGATAACATTATTGCCATTTCATTATCTTCTGATGAGACAGTTTTGTCTCGGGTTGTTTTTTCATACTTCACACTACCCGTACGCTCAAATCTCTCTTTCAATCTTTAAAAACATTTGTCTTGAGGATGTCTTCTTCGCGGAAACTTCTGGGCATAAATTCTAGTGGCGAGGAGAGTATTTCCGAGACTTTCTCCAAAAGTATACACCATGCTCACCATTTCTTCTTGAGAATAATTCATTTCAGAGAAAATCAACGACACCAACGATATAAATATTGAAAAAGTCAGTATACCTAATCTGATGGTAAATAATAACTAAATCATAAAAACGAAAATCGGAGACTATGGTTTAAATAGATACACAAAAAAGATACACCCAAAAAACACACGAGTATTCGTAGAATCCCAAATACGTAGGTCAGCAGCAATATGTTTGACTGAATATTGAAAATTCAACTAATATTATTGTGATGATAAGTACATCAATAAATGCGTTGTGTAGAAAAAATTATGAATTTGACAACGCCGCTAACGATGAGAAGAATATTATATGAATGAAGACAGTATTGGCAGAGGTTTCATTTATTGATATAATATACTGGGTGTTACATTTGAAAAAATCGAGAAAAATTTCATTGAACTTCATGAAATTTGACTGTCAAAATCATGGGCCCTGTGTATGAAGGTATTGAAAAAATCATTGAAATATATTCATGGGACCTTGCTACTACTACCTACAAGAAATATTCAACTGAATGTCATAGATGCATGAGCCATAACTGATTTTGTCAATACTTTGCAGTAGTAGTAAAAATCAATAAATAATTCATAATTTGACAACGCCGCAACGGATTTTCAATTTCGTGGCACGATTGGAAAGCCAATGAAGAGATGAATCGATAACGAACGAAATATACAGGGTATTCCATTGAAAAAATTTATATTCTCAGCATCCCTGCCTTTGTGTATCACCCTGTACAACTGGAAATATTTTAAAAATATGTGGCCCATTGCACTAAATGACCAGCCATTTCGAATTTTCTCTGAATTCAATAGTCCATGAAATATCGAAGAATTACGCACTAAATGGACACACTGTATAGAGAAAACTGATTTTACAAAACTCAAATCACCACTTCAAACTGAGCTTTGGACTTGAATTTTGCGTCTCGTCTCAGGACTATACAAGAAGTCTATGACAAATTTGAAAAGAAATTTCAAGAGTGCATTAGCAAATCATCTCATAGACAATAAAAAACGAAAGTAAGTTGATTAATGAGTTATCAAATAATACATCAAGAAGAAGAAATGTAACAGACATTTCTGTGATATCTCCTGATGGTGATATAATGATTGATAACGTGGAAAAAACCAAACGCTTTCAAAACATACTTTGTGAGTATTGGTACACGAAGTCACGAATGGCTGATAACATTGACAGAGTTGATGAATTGCCGAACAAATTTTTGGATGACACATCAACTCCTTCTTCTTTATATTTACATCCAGTAACTGAGAATGAGGTGATCGAAAAAATATCAAGGTTAAAAACCAACGCCTCCCCCGGCCCAAATTGTATCACGTCGAAAACCATAAAAGAAAACCACATCAATCTAGCAAAGCCCCTATCTTATAAATTTGTTATTCAGAAGAAAGGCATCCTTCTCCAACAATGGAAATATAGTATAGTTACCCCGGTTTTCAAATCTGGTAAACATGATGAACTAGGAAACTATCGTCCTATTTCAATAATGAACAATTTTGCAACAGTATTTGAACAATGCATCAAAAATAGACTAATGAGTTTTTTCAATAAAAATTCTACCATATCACAAAATCCATTCGGTTATCAACAAGCTATTGGAACCGAAAATGCAGTACTAAAATTTTGAATAGTCAGACAATTTCTCATCTTGAAAATTCGAAAAAATACATGGCTGTGTTTCTGGACTTAGCGAAAGCGTTTGACACCGTTCAACATAACGTTTTATTAGATACATTATATGAGGTAGGAATACGGGGACGAGCTATGGATGTTTTGAAGGACTATTTGTCCCATAGAACACAACAAATAATAATTGATAACGTTCTGAGTGACTCACAAATTTAGTTCTCCATCGTTATTCTCTAGAAATATTTTGGTTCGCTTATGACAAGTTCCCCGTTATGTCCGATATCCATAGTTCCGTAAAGATTGGATTTGGACGAGGAACGGAATTTATGTGATAACCATAATATAGGTTAGAATTCTCAAAAGGTACCAATGGCATTATATCATTCTCCATGGACTACTCCACTCAATGGAAAAGATCTATTTTGTTCTATATAAATTGATTCTGACATTCCCATCAGGCCAGTAGCATTTTTTGTTTCATCTCCTCGAGAATTTAATACTCCACAGGTTCACAGTCATCATCATCAAAATCGAAATATTTCAGATCATCGTTGTAGTATAGAAAAACGCTCGGGATATAGTAATTTTGAGGCAATCCTAGATCAGTGAATGTATCTCTCTCGTCCAGTATGCCATTTTCATCAAGGGTTTTGTTCATATTGATGTTTCTATTGGTGTACCTAAAAATAACGATAGAGTTCTTTTAGGAGCTGACAGGAGACGTAATTGATTTGACGTGAATGAATGAATCAACTTAACATGATACCTAATTAGTCAACGAATTGGTGTAAACTCAAGTTGCTGGATACGCAAAAATTATTCAACTAATCAGAACCATATAGACTACAGAAGATAATCTATTCAGAACTACATTTGGAAAGAAAAATAACATACGCCAGGTGATCCGACAGGGGTAACGAGATAATGTATGTTAGGAACGAGTATTGTTGCTAACAGAAGGTCTGGTTCAAGAAAAGAAGGTTTTGTGAATGAAATAAAAAATATGCCATTCTGAATTGATAATGAGTGAAAAGTTGAGATAGGGACATGTAAACCGTTTTGACGAATAATGAACAGTTTCGACAGAAAAAGATCCTGAACTTGAAAAATCTCGATTTTGCACACCGTATATGTCAGTAACTTTCACTGCTAGACCCTAAGTATGATGGGTCGTTGGAATCAGATCTTCAGGCAAAATTCAAAAATGAAATAAAATATAGGGTGTTCTAATGAAAAAAACATAGCTTTGATGTGCTGTGACCTTATGGAACACCCTGTGTATTTCAAAGAAATTTTGAAATGTGAAGCTCGGTTATCACTTTAATTTGAATGCAGAATTTTTGTTTGTATCTCTCAAGACAACAGAGGTATCGAACTCTGGATTCTTTGGCCACCCTGTACAGTGGATGACGCGTATTTCGAAAAATTGTCTTGTATTTTTTCTCTTTGAAACGTTGAGCAAGAAATTCGAAAATAGGGTAATTAATTAGCCTTAAATAAGCCATTTAATCTCAATATATTGAATCGGTGAAAAATCAATGTTTTCAAAAATGGCTCTGCTGAGTTCGGCCGAAGCTAGCAAAGCTACTGATTTTTCTGATAGAGAGGTGCGTGAAAATTTTGGCATAGGGAAATAAATTAGCCTAAAATGAGCACTGCATTTTCATTATATCAGATCATCGAAAAATATTGTTTTTAAAAATAGGCTTTGCTGAGTTCGGCCGAAGCTAGCAAAGACACAGATTTTTCTATTGTAGAGAGGAGCAGAAAATTCAGGAATGGGGTAATAAATTAGCCTAAAATGAGCATAAAATTATGAGATGGGTTCATGTTGAACATCGAAAGTAGCTTTGTTAGCTTCTTCAGTATGTTTCCAAGTACTTAGGTATGTTCTCCAAAAGTTATAAAAAAATTCAATGCCTACCTCCTCTCCCTATCCTCCTTAGATGAGGATTCCCTTCCGTGCGCTCCTAGCGAAAAAAAATACAACATTCCATATTTATTATGTATCGCTCTAATTTCGAAAATATCTTATAGATAATATAATCATCATACCTATACCTATTGGTCAATTATCAAAAATGTACAAAATATCTAATTACCAGCGCCAAAAATCGAATAGGTACTGACAAAAGTTCAAAATATTAGTAATTATGAGACCATTTGACTGTTTTCGATGAATAATCAACCGATTGTCAGTGAGCGGCAAAAAGTAATCAAGACGGTGTCGCGCTAGTTTATGTTCGGTGTCCTCGACGTGCCGCTCGATGAACATACGATTTCAGCTTTCCACGAATTCTTCAGGTTGATCCCGCCCCTTTCGACGGGGAAGGGATAAGATTCGAATAATTTCGAGTGGCATATGGCCTCTTATGTATGTATATATCATGTTGTATAATGTTGAATTTATTAACAAGAGAGAGAGACATTGAAAAAATATGCATATCTTGAAAAACGAGTAGAACATATCTCATCAAATATGTTCGAGACATTTTCAAGAAGAAACTGAGATGGACAATATCGCGGAAACTGATGCAAGATCTTCAACTGTAGTATGAAAGTGATTACCTAAATAGGTTCTGATTGACGTCTCCTGTACTCCTGTCGAAATATAGGGACCATTAAGGACACCCTGTATACTAACCCACCAAATTGTGATATTAATTTATCGTGTTCAGGTAAACAGGGTGTTTCACAAGTTCACAACAAACATAGAATGTTAATATTATATAATATTCATAAAAGAGGTCGATTACAAAAAAAAGATGAAAGTCCAACAGAAGACGAGACAAAAATTATTATTTTGAGTTCCTGTCTGTCGGCTTGAATTCACTCCACAGGGTGATGAGAAAATATGAGAAACTTTATATTCGAAGAGTCACAAAGTAGATTTAGCGCTGAACAATTCATCGACCAGTAATTTCTTTCTTATAAGTAATCAGACAAAATGTTTGCATTATGCATCTAGAACATGCTATATCATTTTCATTCAAAATAAAGAAAGTTCAAATCAGTTGAACAAAAATACGAAAGCAGGAAATGCAGGAAGCTACCACTGTTCAAAATCTAAAGGAATTTGTGTTTTGTTTATGGTTTTTTCATTTACCTCCATGTGTAACTAGCGGCGTCACTGTTGAAAAGCAAATATCTCTCTTCGATTCTAATGAAAGTATCTTCAGAACATACATTCAGTTGCACTTCTTGATTGAAAGGGCACACCATATTGATAATTCTCAAGGGTCGAACTCGTTTTGTGAGTAAACCCACTTGATACCTATAAAATGAATAATATGTATTGGCAATTCTCGAAAACATTATTTGCGTTTATCTTCTTTGATATGTTTTCCCAGAATTGTGATTAAGAGCCCTGATTAGACCTAAAATAAGCGGATATAACATAGACAGAACAAATAAATATTAGTGAACAAGTTGACACAAATGTTCCATATTATGTACCAAAATAATGAAAGTTATGCTAAAAAAAGAACTTCCTTCTTTCTTTTTTGGTTTAAAACGAATGATAGAAAAAAAAAGAAATTTATACGGTAGTACAAAGTATTACAAAAGCAATTCAAAACACAATATAGTTAATATAAAGTAAGTCCTAACCCCGAAATTAAGAGAATATCCCTTACATAGATACACACAGATTTATGTTAATAATCAACAAGTTGACACAAATGTTCCATATTATATACAAAAAATAATGAAACTTCACATGGAAGTGTTGCTACAATACGATGGGATAAAAGAATTATACGGTAGATATAAAATAATACAGACCACAATACAGGAAGGGTATATACAGACTATTCGTTTATTATGAAAGATCCCAGTTCCCAAATATTGCAGATATGTGAAGAGATTGAATTTGCTGCAGAGGGAGTAATATTATCGAGCATTTCGATCAATTGATTCACATTTTTCAAGCAAGGAGTATTTCGAGGTCGAATTGAAGTATAGATAGGACAGTCAAAGAAGAGGTGATTAATAGTTTCAAGCTCATATTTGTTACATACTGAACATATTTCTTTTGGGTTTATACGATTGGTTGAGCCACGGTAGGTAAATCATAAACCTATTACATAGCCTGAGTTGCGCAGTAGTTCTAGTGACTAATATTTGACAATAGTTTTGGGTGTGCTGAGTAAGTGTGAGAGTTAAGAAGGTTGAACGAGAGAACAAGGAACTGTCTTCCTCTTTCAATTTCGGCATATACCTAGAGAGCAGGATCGACTTTTTCTATATAAGATACAAAACAAGGCAAAAAGCAATGGGCTCAGTGGTTCACCTTGAAGAAACCCCGTTGTGACATCGAATGGCTTCGTGAAACCTTCTGAAGATTTGACATTTATTCAAGCCTTTCTTATATATTTTTTTTTTCATAGTGGTGGTTGAAATCCTTTATGGACACCATATGGGTCCAATCCCCCATATGATAGTGTGGGAGTCCCCTGACACCCACTAAACATTCCACCCCGTTTGTAGGCTCGTCTGACCGAAGTCTCCGACGACACTTAGACCTAGTGACCCATTGTATCTTACCTACATGCCGTTATCAATTCTACCATAGACGACGCATGATGCTTCTTAAGGGTCACTTCAATATGAAAGACCCTTTTCGTTCAGGTTACTGAAGATTGCTCTTCCGATCCCTGCTCCCGTCTACGAAGGCCAAAAGTTTTCCTTCTCCTACGAGTGACAGGGGAAGGGGTTGGTCCAGCACAGTGGTGCCCCCTGCACAGGGCTAAGGCTATTTACTCTGAGATGTCGCCATGTTTCCCAGAGGCCCCGTTAGCGACACCATACCTCGGTGCCATTCATCCATCACCACGGGTTCCCACAGCTTGGATCAGGTTGCCAGAGCCTTGTTGACCAGTCCCCGGCCACCCAAACAGATATCAGCAAATCGCCCCAACCCTGCCACATATGTCCACAAATTGTCCCATCTGGTCGGAGATAGCAAAGATGGTCCCAAAATGCTTCATCCGTTGAGCTGCCGCGGTCTGTCCTCCCCACACCACTTGATGGTGAGGTTGGGCTTGGAGAGGAGGAGGAAAAGAGAAGTTGGCCAAGAAAGGCCGATAGATAGATTGAAAAAGGAAGAGAGAAGAGGATTTCACCCAAGAGAAGTTGAAGTATGGTGAATATCCGGCTAGGGTACCTTGGGTTCACCATTCACAAGTTGTGAGCCCCTGAGGGGTTCTTATATGTTTCTTAACAATTATATAATAATTTTAGAACTCAACCCCATCGAGAGTTTCAAACGCAATAGTGAATGGTTGACAGAATCGTACGCAGCACGTTTATAATCTACACGTACACCGCAATTACTTTCCGATTTTTTGATCGCAAATTTAAATAAATGACACCACTGAGAGTATGAACGTTTTCTAGAGAACCTCTGCCTTTTCAAAATCCGTTTTGATTTTCAGGTAAGATTGCATTATCTACAGCCCAGGTATTGAGCCTATTGAGTAAGATTTGAGTAAAAACTTTAGCTGGACAATTCGATAACGCAATACCTCTGTAATTTGAGGGGTCTTCTGCCGGCCCTTTTTATGAATCATTGACAGAACGATTTTACTCCAACCATCAGGAGCTACTGCAGAATCCAAAACTTCATTGAATAGACAAGTTAAATAGAGAATCCAGTAGGTAGATTGGATATGGATTTCTATAGCATCATAAAAATAATATAGTATCTTCTATAAGGCGTGGAGGATAAACGATAGAATAGAAATCTTTCCACATTTGAGAACTCAGTGTTTTCGATGGTGTTGAGTGTCTGAATTTTTCGAGGTTTTGGGATCACTACTATAGTGTTCAAGCACGTCCAGAAGGTTTTGATAGTGGGTTTGTTTTTATATTTGAGTAATTTCGTATGTAAGTTACTGTTTTTGAACAATTTCAGTTCTTTCTTTATTTTCTGTTTAGATTGGACACAGTCATAATCGAACCAGGGTGAATTTTTCCTGTGTGGAGAAAGAAAGTTAGTCTTTTTTTTTGTAAGGATGAGTGTTCTGGCGGAGTTTCGATATCAGGAATATAATGAGCTCTTTCTGATTTTTCATGGACATTTTATATTCTATAGCGAGAGATTCATCCCATTTCAAGTCCGTTTGAATCGATTGCGATTACTTTGTTTCGGTTTATTTTCGCAAATCCATTTGACATTCTAAGGGAGTTAGGGAAGTGATCAGATATGAGATATTTTCATTAAGGACTTTGAGATTATGTTCTTCCATGCAGCAATGTGAAGGAATCGGCATGCAATGAACTCAATAATATTTCGCCCTCTTGTATTCAGAACTTTATCCATATCAAGCCTATTTTCATAAAGATTGGTGATTTCAAGTAGGTCCTTAGGAATGGTACCGATTTCTGCCACTCTGGTGACTGTAAGATATGGTATTTTGTATTCTTTGACAATTCCAATACCTGTTAAAATTAATATTATTATTATCATCATTATTATTATCATTTTATTTCAATTGATCTATCTTATCTACTATTATAGATATTATTATCAGTTGAAACATCGGATCTTGGGGTGGACGTTTTTTTTTTAACACGCTCATACAAGCTTATATTAGCTTGGTATGTATGTTTGTATGTAACGCGGAATCTACGAACATGATTTTGAGCCATTTCAGAACGTCGACTTGAATTGAAATTTCGCACACTCATCAAGATCCGATGAAAATAGCATATTTTGATTGTTTTGTTACATTATCCTGATCAGGATCTTCATGCTGAATTTTTTCTCGAATAAAATGGTGAATGATGTTCCGCCACCCAAATTCCAAAATGTTCCTTCACCAAATATTCAAATGTTCGTTTTGTCTTCGAATAACTTTATTATAGTTTTTTATATCTAGAGACACGACAGTGTCTTATACCAAGTACTGGTAGGAATAGTTACCTCCAGAGAAACTCCCCACTTTCATTGCGTGGTGATATACTCACAAAAAATATGAAAAAGCTAAAATACACTCTTTGGTAGATAGCCTAGATAAAAAGAAGTAGAAAATAATAGTTATTTATTATACAAGGAAGCGTTACGAAAGGAGACAAAAAAGCGTGATCTCAAGTCTAATAGGGGTATTCCCGGTCCTCGTATAATGCTTCGTATTATTGTATTTTCTTATCGTCGTATTCAGCAAACTAATCTGATTGGTCGATTAGGATACGCGGTCCTTCGTAACTTTACACTACCATTTTCTTGTGTAAGATTACAAAATTGCCGTTCTTACGAAACTTTTCTGACAGAATTTTGTCCCGTGTCCCGTGTTTCAAGTGGTGAGGTTAGGGTTATTGTTATTATTCAAAATTATGATCAACGAATTTTTATTGTTTGAGCTGCGTGGCCTGAGCATAAAGCACAATATAAATACCTCTGATTATTGTAACTAATCTCTGGTATTGAGAATTTTGATTTGGATTAAGGTATTTTAAAAATGGCAAGAATGAATACAAAAACTTTGTGTCAATCTTGGAGAAGGACTTGAATTATTGAAATTGTATTTTCAGTCATACAGTTCTAGCTCTGTTTCCAAGACAGATGATGAATTAGAATTTTTCAATTTCGCACTGGAAGCTTTCATAATAAGCTGACAGTTTACATTGCTATCCATGGGTCGTTCCCGTGTTTGAGGTTTCGTAACAATACGTACGCCATTTTCGTAAATATACGAAGTCAGATACGAGGGCTCTGGAATACCCCTATTATTTTCCAGTGTATAATACACTATTTTTTCTGTGACAGGAAGAATCAATATTGAGAAGATACTGAAATCAGAAAATTATCGACGTGAAATCACAAGTTTTTTACAGGAATGACACCTGCGTTGCGGGCATCTTTTTGCGGGGATTTTTATCATTCTTTTGAAGTAATCAAATAATTATCTAATTCTGTGATTTGATTTTCAAAAATATGCGAATTCAGTGCTTCTTTACTAATTTACGTAACCACGAAGTCGAATTGAAGATAAAAGAACTTGCAGTTCCTTCTCGGAGACGGTGTTATTGGCTCATTTTTCGGAACTATAGCACAGCAAAAGCCATCAACAGTGTATATACAGTGTGGTCATTTAAGTGTGCAACATATGGGAATCTTTTTAATGAATGGCACAACCAAAATACAGATAGTGCCGAAAGTTGGTGCATGTTCAGTTAACCATTTAAGGTGCACTCAGAATTGTTGCAAGTCGCACAGCATAGGTCAAAAAATATGAAAATTGCCCAAGAGTAAAGTACCCTTATTTCAGAAAATTCAACAGAATGTTATTGAGAAAAGTTGTTTACAATTGAAAGACATGCCTAAATACCAAAACATGGCCTCCTAAGACATTTTTTAGTTCTTTAATTTTGTTCGTGAATAATTTACCAATTTGTAATTTTTTCATATTCAGCCTAAATACCTTCATAAATTAATCATAACAGAATCAGTTGAGCTTACTCTTGTTTAAATTCAAGCTCATTTGTGCAATTAACTCAGATTCTTATTTTCTTAGGGAATCATTGGAAAAGTATCTCCCATTATTGGTGCTTTGAGAAGATGTCCTAAACTTATTACATATACATCAAATATTATTCTCTATTCACATATACTCAGTCGAATTAACTATCTCATAAATATTTGGGGATCTTGTTCCAAAGATAGTTTCAATAAAATTTCTGTTCTATATAAAAAGGCATTGAAAGTATATTGTATCGTCTTCCAGATGATACTCCAACGAATCAACTGTATAAGGAAACAAACACATTTTCTTTGGAAGAGCACTTTTTAATCAATACTCTCAAAATGTCCTATTATATCATCAACAAAAAGCTTAAATCAAATTTTATATTAATCAGGAATTCCGAAATTCATGATCATCACACTAGACAATATAACTTGTTTCATCTTGAAGCTGCAAATTCTAAACTTGGACAAAAAAAGTTTACACATGAGGCGATTTCGAAATTCAATAATTTACCAGATAATATCAAAAACAGCCCAAATATTATGCAATTCAAAAATAAAGTCAAGAAATATATTTATATGCAAAGGAATGATCAAAGCTGAAAGACTATGAATTTCCTTTTTTCTTTTTTTTTTCACTGTTTTTATTTTTTCCCTTCTTGTTCACTATAATATAACTGTGTCTTAATGATATGTAAGTTCTGTTCACTTTGTAATTTCAATTTTACAACAGTCGATAATACTTCATGAATGATCTTAAACCAGGAATTACTGTCTGATCATGCATGTCATTCCTACTAGAAAATTAATTATACTTTATATATTATTTGTATGAAATGTATCAATGAAGAAGAGAATGTAATGCAATAACTGAAATAAATAAATAAAATGAATAAATAAGTGTGTTGCAACGATATTCAGCTCAACTTTAAAATTTCGCAAAACATATTTTTAACAAGGTAAAACATCATTAATGATAATATGCATATTCAAAAACTTCCATTCAATGGGAACATTTTGTATTTAAAATATCACAAATTGGGAAATTATTAACGATTGTAATTTCAAAACTAAAAAATGTCTTAGGTGGCCATATTTTGGTATTTAGGCATAACTTTCAATTGTTAACAACTTTTCCCAATAACATTTTGCTGAAATTTCTGAAATAAGGGTACTTTACTCTTGAGCAATTTATATATTTTTCGACCTACCCTGTATGCAGTTTGACTTGCAACCATTCTTAGTGCACCTAAAATGATTACCGAACATGCACCAACTTTCGGCACTATCTGAATTTCGGTTGTGCAATTCATTAAAAAGATTCCCATATGTTGCACACTTAAATGACCACACTGTATATACCGGGTGTAACAGGATGATGGTACACCAAACCATTTTGACGAACTCAATTTGGTGATAAATCAAGAAATTTTACATTTTTGACAGGATTCAACTTCTTTTTAGCATTACACATGTCGATATGAGTACAGCAGACTCAATCAGAATAGTCAAGGCACACTCAGATGGACAATCAAAAATGAAATCAGAATCAATAATGAAGTTTGAAATGTTATTTACATGGTATCATTGGCTTCAGAAAATGATGCAGAATTCGAAAATGCATTGATATACGGGGGGTTCCATTTGAAAATCAAAAGTTATTACTTCTTCCGGTGAAACCGGAAGTGGAAATTGAAACATATTCATGTCAAAATGTGACGTTTATCATGTCGATGGGTCATTCCGATTTTCAATCACTTATCTCTGAAACTAAAGGAGAAAAAGTGGGTGTACCATGATGCTGTTACACCCGGTATACAGGGTGTTGCGAAATTTGACCGACAACGCTTGACAGGTGATAGCCTTCGTGATTTCATAATCACTGAGATAGGGACATACGGTCTTCAAGTGTTCAGTTCTCGAGATACAGGGCGTTGAAGTTAAGAAATAAAAATAGTTTTTTCGCAATATCTCAAGAATAATTGAATATAATGCATTCAACTTCGGTATATGGTTTCATCTTTGAATGAGTCATTTTTTGACCAGGAAACCATTCCGGAAATTCTTTCCAGTGGTGCCCTACAAGGGGTTGTGGCAACTTTTCCTCCCATATTTTTTACGCTACTGATTAAATTTCGATTATTTCCAATTACTCGAATTCATTGTTCAATTGTGTTCAGAAAATGTATCACCTTCAACTGAGCTGAAATGAACAGTTTTCGAGATATTCGACCCAAAATAGAAGATTGAGTAAATCAGCTACAAGAGAACGGGAATCAAAACGTCACTTTTCCCATGTAAATCTCCATAAGAAATTTTAAGCTCAAAAATAGCGAAAATGGTCCCCTTCAAGGTCACCCATCTCCGACGGCGAGCAAAGCGAGAGATCCGTTCCAGAGATAACGGTGCGCATTTCATTCCATTTTTCAATCAATAATGGCTATATACAGGGTGTTTGAGTTGAATGATGGTTAGGAAAAAATATACAGGGTGAAACCAAAAAAGCGTTATACCTCCCCGACCTACATATAAAGGCTACCCGCTAGCTAATGATATATACAGGGCGTTTGAGATGGATAACAGTCAAAAAATATACAGGGCGACCTACCCACTTTTGAGGGATTAGGCAGCTGACGTGTGACAGATGACAAAGGATTGATAATATTTCATCATTTTCAGTAGTAGAAAATTGCAAAAATATCTAGTTTGCTCCTCTTTCTCATACCTTTCATCGTCCCACCAAGGCGGCCTATCCAGAGGCCTCCAGTCACTGGTGGGGACTTGTTCCGGCACGTCCGGAATAGGCCCGTGCGGGCAATATGGCACTCTGCACCCGGTTACAGGGTGGACGTAATGTTGAATATCCCCCGTCCTCTCGTCAAACCTGTAAGGAACGCGGGCAGTAAACTTTCGATACATAAAGTGGAAATATCCTTATCAAGTGTTTACGACTTCTGTTACTCAGCACTACAGCAAATAGTAATGAGAATGGGCGTGTCCACCTTAGTAGAACTTTCAACTCAAACCATGTTTATAATGTTGAAAAGGAATATTCTCAGATAAATTATGAACATACAAAAATGGATATATATTTATACAAAGCAATACATTGAGAATTCGCATTGTCTATGTGATGAGAATATTTACTCTTTCTCAGTTGATTCAATAGAAAACAACTACTTTCCTGGCTATATATGCCACGACGAACATTGAATTATATCTATTGAACACACACGATAAGAGTTTGAAAATAAAATATAAAAACTTCTGAAATTGAGAATTTGCATTCTCCTTCAGACAAAAATATGTATATGCACACATCATTCTGAATATTCAACAGAAAACAACTACTTTCCTGGCTATTTGCCTCGTCGAACATTGAATTATATCTGATGAACATTCAAAAGGAGAACATGAAAAATAAGGAATGAAATCCTCCGAAATTGAGAATTGACATACTTCTTCAAATCGAATGAATAATATGATGTATAATGATATAGGAATATAGCTTACCAATATATTCAGCATAAACTCTGATGAATATTCAGAATGATGTGTGCGTATACATATTTTTGTCTGAAGGCGAATGCAAATTCTCAATTTCAGAAGTTTTTATATTTTATTTTCAAACTCTTATCGTGTGTGTTCAATAGATATAATTCAATGTTCGTCGTGGCATATAGCCAGGAAAGTAGTTGTTTTCTATTTAATCAACTGAGAAAGAGTAAATATTCTCATCACATAGAGAATGCGAATTCTCAATGTATTGCTTTGTATAAATATACAGAGTGGGCCGTTGAAAACGAAACAGAGGCTCTGTAGGTCGCCAAAACCAGATTATAAAAAATATCTAAAACACGTCAACTATATTTTCGAGGGGGACATCGTTCTGAAATATTTTCAGCCCTGCGGCGTTGCCGCTTCTAGAGAAAAGAAGCAACAACTTTGTTATTTCTAATGGAACACCATGTATTTTATTGCATTTTTAGATTCTCCCCGAAGAGCTGATTTTATCAATGCATCATACTTGGGGTCTAGCTGTGATGGTTTCAGGGATATAAAGTGTTCAAAATCGAGATTTTTCAACTTTAGCATTTTTTGTGTCGAAACTATTCATTATTGGTCAAAATGGCTTTCATGTCCCTATCTCAACTTGTGATTCACTATCTACTAACATTTAATTGGAACAGATACAGGGTGATCAGAATTCTGAGTCTTGAACCACCCTGTATTTGTTTCAATTAAATGTCAGTAGATAGTAATTCATAAGTTGAGATAGGGACATGGATGCCGTTTCGACCAATAATGAATAGTTTCGACACAAAAAAATGATAAAGTTGAAAAATCTCGATTTTGAACACTTTATATCCCTGAAACCATTACAGCTAGACCCCAAGTGTGATGCATTGATGAAATCAGCTCTTCGGGGAGAATCTAAAAATGCAATAAAATACATGGTGTTCCATTTGAAATAACAAAGTTGTTGCTTCTTTTCTCTAGAAGCGGCAACGCCGCAGGGCTGAAAATATTTTAGAACGATGTCTCCCTCGAAAATATAGTTGACGTGTTTCAGATTTATTTTATAATCCGGTTTTGGCGACCTACAGAGCCTCTGTTTCGTTTTCAACGGCCCACTCTGTATATCCATTTTTGTATGTTCATAATTTATCTGAGAATATTCCTTTTCAACACTTTCATACCCAATCAGGGTGTTCAAACTTGAACGATGGAAACTTGTGATTTTTATAGACCTCTAATCGCAGATTCGTGATAGAGTCTCAATTCAGAATTTGATTCCACGCCCTGTATGATGAATGTCAATTTATCATACACCCAAAAGCATGTTTATAATGCTCCTTTTATACATAAAAAATGAGTGACGACATAATTCGATCGAAAAATTTACTGAAATGTTTATTTTTGGACATAAATAATAGTACCTTCTCATCTCGCCATAGTTAAAAGAACCAAACGCCCGACGGAGACTGAGGCAACTGATAGGGCTAAGTGGGGTAAATGGAAACGATTTTTGCATTTCTTAATTGAAAATATTATATGTTGTGTCGAACAAAAAATTATTGAATATTTCCATGATTCCCATATACTTTGATATGTTTTATGCATTTTCTTCAAGTTTCATCTCCCGGTTAGTGATTATAGTAGATTCAAAAGCTGTTTACAATTACCCCAACAAAAAATCAGACTGTTCCAAATGTAGGGGTAAATGGAAACATGCCTCTTGATGTTCTATTCGTCTATTGATGAAACTAGACGGGGGAAATGTGAACAGCACCGTTAGTTAACATTTTAAATATAATGTAATGTACTTTTATATGCATGTTCGCAATTACCCCTATGATATTTCATATACGTATGGGCCATGGTATGACCTATGAGCTATCGAAATAGTGAAAGGCATCATAGTGAAAATAAGTTTAATGATTACAAAAATCAATTAGCTAAAGTTCAATGGCCGAAATGAGTCAAAACAAAGTTTATTTTTCAAAAACACTCACAGATCCAGGAAAAATGTGAATCACTTTTCTATCTCTGATTGAAGTTTTCGGATCAGGTAGCACGGCCTCGATCATTCCGAAGTCAATTGAAGAAATATCATTTTCTTTCTCGACATATTCAGCTCCAAATCTATCATTGCGTCTGAATCCGACAACTGCAATGTCTCCAGTTTCTTCATCTACATCACGCACGCGACAGACATATTTATAGGTTATGCTATTCCTGGATCCCCCAAGAAATTTTACCAGTAGGTACATTCCAGGCTGAATCGAGGGCCACTCTGGCAGTTCATATTCTACCTCTGGATAGTTTTCAGCTACCACTTCTTCTGCCCATTCATCCGCATTGATCTCTCCATCCGAGTTTTCATCGTAAGGAACAACTTCGTGCTCTTCTTCGCTTCCAATATCTTGTTTGCGTTTTCCTTTCTGTTTTTCATTGGAGATCTTCTTCGAGCGGAATTTACATTGTCGAGAGGCTTTTTCTTCTTTCTGACGTTCTGCTTCTTTGAGTCGTTCGATAACTTCAGCAGTTGTTAATATCTCTCCATATTGGGCCTGTTTCAATCTTGGTATGACTTTCTTTGGCTCAGCAGAATTTCTGGTTGAGTCAACATTCAAAGTTTTAACGATTGCTGATGAAAACACAGCAACAATATCTGAAGCAACACTAATATGATTAGTACTTGAACAAGCAGATGTGGACGGAATTGATTGAAGTCGTTCTAATCTTGCGTCTTCTTGAGTTTCTTCAGTGTCGTTTGTTTCTCCTTCGATATCAGTGAATTCACCCTGTTGAACTCCAGCATTTTGCGCAATTTTTCGCTGCTTTTCTTTGAATCTTGCCAGATCAGTAGGATTGAATTCATCTTCTGGAAATTTCTCAGCGTTGACTGGAAATATTCCTGTAGAAACAAATCCGGAAATGATATTTTTTTCTGTAAAAGCTTCCTCCCAGACCTCCGCCAGAATTTCAGTGAATTCATTCTTCTTCAATCGCCCTGCTCCGTGCCCCATATGTTTCTTCCCATGGGCAATTAGTTTTTTCTCCCAGCAAGTTTTCACCGGTCCGAAAACGCACTTATCCAACGGCTGAAGCCTGTCTGTCAAATGGCTTGGAAACTTGACTAATATGATTTTATTTTCCACTGCACATTCAATGATTCTCAAACTTATGTGACTCTTATGTCCATCGAACAACAGTAAGGCATTCTGGTCTGGTAATTTTTTTGCCATTCTTAAGTTTTTCACCCACTTAACAAAGACAGATTCAAACCAATTGAAGAACTGCGGTTCCTCCATCCATCCATTTGTAGACACAGAATAAACAGTTCCTGGATATGCCTTGGGTGAGGTCCATCTAGCCTGTACAGCACCACCTTTGAAAATGATGAACGGTGGCAAAAATGAACCATTATCAGCTACGCAAGCAAGAACACTTGTTGATTCTCTTCCAGAGCCACCAGAAACTCTTGACAGGGTCTTTCCACGTTCCCCAATAGCCTTTATCCTTGAGGGATCATTTCCAAAGCCACTTTCATCAGCATTGAAAACAAACTCAGCATCATCAATTTGTTCTTTGATAACCACCTCTTCTAATTTTTTATAGAAATTATAGATGACTTCTGGTTTTCTCTGATCCTTTCTTGCTTTCTGAAGATGCTCAGGCTTCTTGAAGGACAGAGTTTTATTGCGATTCATGAAGCTATAATACCAGTCTAAACCAGGCCGGCCGTCCTTGAAAGGTGTTTTTATATTTCTTTGTTGAACAAATGTTGCAACTAGATCTCGCAACTCTTTCTTGTTACATGGATAACCCATCCGTGCTCGAGCCTTCAAACATTCCACTATTTGCTCTTCTACTTCGGCACTTAAAGCAGTGGAGCGTCCTGCTCCCATTTTGGTTTCAGGTACACTTCTGCCTTTTATTCTATGGAAGATAACTGCTACCGGAATATTATATTCTCGTGAAGCCTGACGATAAGTTGAATTTTTGTTCTTCACGTCACTGACTGCCCTCAGGATATCGTCTTGAGTGTACCTCCCCGCAGTTTTCTTCTTAATATACTTTCTGGGCATCTTTTTGTTTTCCTGGAATTGAATGAATATGATTTGGTTATGTGGATTTGTTGTTTACATTTACCCCAAATCGGTGTTCACATTTACCCCTCGAGCAGATTTCGTAGGGGTAATTGTAAACGCTAATTTGCTCTGTTCACAATATGAATTTAGAGGTTAGATCTATGGAATACACTTATTCACATCATATCAGTACCATAGTAAGCAATATTCAATTGAAAACTTACCTCAAAGCACTATGAACACGAACTACCAATACTAGTGATCGAAACGAACAATCAATCTTATGAAACCGTCAAAAACTTTTCGTCAATACGAACATCGGATCAACTGAACTGAACTGAAATGAGCGGGAGCGTTGCCGGCAGAGGTGTGTCGGCTAGCGTGAACGCGCGAAACTGGCCAATTTTGAATACTCTGTTATACCCAACGGTGTTTCCAATTACCCCGAGTTCACATTTACCCCACTTCGCCCTACATTAATTCTTTCAACTGTGATCTCGCGCTAATTCACTCTGTCAGAAATCATGTATTATTCATCTCTGTCTGGAATAGTCTTGTTTCAGTATTAGGGTTTCGACGTCACATCATCGCATCGTTTTCAGAGGTCCGAAAAATCGGGGATTTCAATATTTTTTTATAAAATGTAGGGAGCTCACAGCAAGAAACGGTTTGCGGTAATGAGCTAGGTTGGGCGAGTTCTATCGAATTATGAAATAATTTTTTTTTGTGATATAAGCCCATTGTATAACAATAGTTTCAGGAATCTGAATATTTTTCTGAAAATGTAAGAAAGTTAGTGTGTCTTCTAATGGAAACACCCCTGTATCTTACGTAATCGTTGGGTACGAATCCTGAAATTTTCTGGAGCGAGAGATATATACCAAAAATAAACTCTATGATCGAGTGAAGTCATCTTCAGTGATTAACACTGCTCGCCAACAGCCATGGGACCACCCTAATTTCCGGAAAATATGTTGAAAATCACTTCAGTTTCGGAATCAAAACGCCCAATTCACTAACTATTCATATTTTCCCTGAAAATTTTTCAGTTCTGAAAAATTCATTTTTGTCTCACTCTTCATGGAAACACCCCCGTATCTTATATGTAATCGTTGGGTTAGTATCCTGAAAATTGCTGGAGCGCGAGATATACCAAAAATTTACTCTATGTTCAAGTGGAATCATCTTCAGTGATATAGTGAATTTGACGTCATGTTTTCGAACCCGAAGTGATTTCCAACCTATCTTCTCTGCTAATATGATTTTCCGGACATGTTTGTGGTTCCATGACTGCTAGCGAGCAGTGTATATCACTGATAGTACTTTCACCTGTTCATTGACTGTATCTTAGGAATAACCTTTTGCTTCTGGAAATTTAACATTCGTAACTCGATAATAACGTGAGATACAGGAGCGTTTCCATGAAAAGTGAAAGAAAAATGTAATTTTAAGAACTGAAAATTTCCTAGAAAAAATATGTTAGTGTATTGGGCGTCCTGATTCCGAATCTGAAGTGATTTTCAACCTATATTTTTTATCGCTTGGAGCGCTCGAAAGGAAATCCCTATAATGTTCAAAGAACATCGTGCGTTCCTAGGGAGGATAGGGACAGGCGGTAGGTATTGGAATTTTTTTGAACTTCTGGAGATTATATATGTTGTTGGGAATACTTCCTCAGGCAATGAATTCCAGAGCCTATAGCCGTTCTATGGATGAAGGAGTTTTGATAGAGTGCTGTTCGACATCTTTCGAGGATGACAACGAAAGAATGTGCTGACTGGGCTTGTCCAGTTCGTCTCACTGGTACTGCTAGTGAAGGGATGATAGCAGAGATTTCCGAAGAATATTTCCCGTGGAAGTATCGATAGAAAAGTGAAAGGTCGCCCACCTTCCTACGGTGTTCCAATGATGTCAAAGAGTGAGTGAGTGTGGCTTCACCCACCAGGCGAATGGGTCTTCTCTGGGTGGAATCTATAAGAGCATCAGCGTATGTTTTGGTGCTGAACCCCATATGTGGGAACAGTAATCTAGAACAGGCCGTATCTGCGCTTTGTAGATCATGAAAAGCTGTTGGGGTGTAAAGTAGCTCTTCGCACGGAACAAGAATCCGAGTTTTTGTAAAGCAGCTTTTGCGATGGATCTGACATGATTATCCCATGATAGAGTGTTGCTGATGGAAATACCGAGCATAGATATGGAAATTGGGGTGGTTGCATATGAATCTTCACATACCAACTCGAGATGTCTTTCCCGGCCATCGCCAGCAACGGTTGAACACATCTCTCTCCTGCATGCTTCTGGACGAGTGGCGTGACGTCGAACACTTTGCCCAAGAAGGAGACCCAGCAGTCTTCGGGACAGTTGTGGATGACGACTTCGAATGGGGCGAAGTAACGCCACCCATTTCCTTTAGACATCACTTATTTGGTGCGATGATCCTCTGGGCGATCTCGGTTTGGACGTGGGATGGTGAAAAATTCACAAGGTACGTATGACAAGCGTCAATATGACAAATGCTGTCAACGTACCTACATGTGAGGTATCTACAACCTCTGCTACAACTGAGATACCTACAGAGTATTTGGGATGATAGCTGTATTGATCAATCTAGAACACGTGATTTTGACATGGTTTCTTGAGGGGCACACAAACTATCTGTTAGAGGTTACCTTTGATGAGCATAGCACTGGCCATCATCCCTGCCACATCCACAATTCAATATAACAGTTTCACCAAACAAAATTATGGAATTCTTTCTGGTTCCAACTCGGATTCCAAGGAAAACGATCCCACCAATTCTGAATTTATATGACAAATCTTGATAAAATACAATGTTTGCCCCTCAGCAAACTGTCAAATGACGTGATTCTGGAATGATTAATTCGCGGTCGCTAATGTCATTAGATGACGTTGCCAACACATTTGAAACTACGGAAAAACATACTAAGTAACTCCTGGGCATATAGATTGGAAGTTAGACATGAATGAGGTATTTTTTCGCGAGATCCCGTTGATTTGCCGGGAACTGATATTCAGTTCCCGTTGCATTTTCGCGTCATAACGGTAATAAGGGAGTATGATAATGACGTCATCAGTGACGTCACAATTTATAAGACGGGAACTGTTTTAGTTCCCGCATCTGTGAACATCGTTACTGGCGGTTATAGTCATTGACAAGTGACATCATATCATTATTTTCAAAGTATTGTATTATTATCAGAAGTAAACATATTTATAATTATTCAAACTATTTTTGAGATACCTACTACTCACTTTTTAAATCAAGAAATGAAAGAACACCACAAAAAAATCATCAATCATTGACAGTACTGTTCGGAACATTTTGAGATGATTCTCGTTGAGCCACCGGAGCGGCCGGAGCCAACGATCATGCATACAAAATGCAACTATCCATTTATTATGATCGAAAACAAAAATCCCAGCTGACAGAAATCTGAACGGTTAACCAATTCATTTTCGTGAGAAATCAAAGGATGAACGGCCTTCGGTTTATTTTTTGGTGGGGGTATAACCGCTCTATTACCGGTGGCTGATCAACTAGAACTCGCGAAAAATACCTATGTTTTTCCGTAGTTTTCAACGTCATCGCAACGTCATCTAATGACCTTGACGACCGCGAATATGGTGACAGCATAATCAGAGAAAAAGTGTGTCCAAGAATAAAGAGACCCATCATTCTTTTGGACGCTATGGGAGGACTTCGAATGGGATGAAGTATGGCCAACGTTCCTTGAGGTCAAGATATCACTTGGAAAAAAGAATATTATCCAGCTCAACGTCGGTTTATTGGTGTGGTTTTTGCATATACGTATTAATAATCAATACGGATAATCTCTATCTGTTTCCATAGCGAAACATGAAGCCGATTTTTGAAGAAAAATGACTATCCATAAGTGAGATACGATACATACTGTTTTGATTGAAAGGCTAGTAAACGTCATTGTCCACCGGAACGCATGTCTTTGATGACTACCATAATAGCGCATGGCGCATACGTATCATGCCACCAAATCCTTATGGATATTCATTTGTTTCATATTTTTGGCTTCATCCTGGCACCCGTTATGATCCGTATTGTTTATTAATACGTATATGGGTTTTTGTTGCGAAATTTACAAGTTATGGCTAAACTCCTCTCTCTTCCGCGTGCTTCTGGACAAGTGGCGTGTCATCAAACACTTTGCCCAAGAAGGAGACCCAGCGGGCAGTCTTCGGGGCAGATGTGGATAACGACTTCGAATGGAGCGAAGTATATTTATATATTGCCATTCATTTCCTCTAGACATCACTTTGGTACGATGATGCTCAGTGCGACCTCAGTTTGGATGTGTGATGGTGAACAATCCACAATAAGGTAGGTACGTATATAAGAGACGTCAATATGACTGATACTGTCAACGTAATATCGTTCTCATCAAAACTGAATCGTGAAGCAGTATTCAGATCGATTCATATTTATTTCATTGTAGTTGCCAAGGTATACCGTCTGATACCATTGGCATCAATTCCGGCGTTCCACAAGGATCAATTTTGGCACCAATAACATTATTCCTTCTTCATATCAATGATCTGTTGGGAGCAACAACTTGCTCCATCCACAGCTTTGCAGATGATAGTACCCTCCATACTGCGTTCTCTTCCAGAATTCCCATTTCTTCCCAGGAAACTAAGAACTCACGGCGCAGGCAGGTCAATGCTGTCATTGAAGACCTTGCTGAAATCAAAGCCTGGGGAACCAACAACCTAGTTGAATTCAATGCCACCAAAACTCAAGCCTGTATTTTCTCTAGAAAGGCAGAACTCAGTATGCCCGACATTGTAATGTCTGGCACCACCATCCCCACCAAGCCCACCATATCTATGCTCGGTATTTCCATCAGCAACACTCTTTCATGGGATAATCATGTCAGATCCATCGCAAAAGCTGCTTCCCAGGCAACCAGATGACGAATGATCACGTCACTGTGACGTCCCTAATTGGTGATTTTTCGTCAGGGACGTCACACACCAATTTATGACGTCACTATGACGTACTTTCTATGACGTGATAATCACGTCATCGTTTCGACGTCGAGTGAACGTCACTTAGATTGGTAAAAGAAGACGTCAGTTTCATGACATTGCAGGGACGTCCTGTCGACGTCCATTTTTCCCAGACCTTCTCTAAACCATGGATACTTATATATTATCATGTGAAACAGAAGTATAACTCATGAAAGCAAATCAACATGCAAATTTCATTCTAAATATTAATATACCCGAAAAGTAGTAGAAAAACCTCGAGAAAAACTTTTTTCTAAAAAACTTTGACACACTGTATATATCGGAAACCGACAAGCTATGTATGTATAAAAATGATTGTTTAGGTATACCCATATTGAAACTGTTACTCTTATGACGTTCCAGTGACGTCTTTTTTACGTCACTTGAATGACCAAGGTTGCCTGGGTTCACAAAAACTCGGATTCTTGTTCCGTGCGAAAAGCTACTTTACTCCTCAACAGCTTCTCATGATCTAAAAAGCGCACAGATACGGCCTGATGTTCTAGAATACTGTTCCCACATATGGGGTTCAGCACCAAAACATACGCTGATGCTCTTAGATTCCATCCAGAGAAGAGCCATCCGCCTGGTGGGTGACGCCACACTCACTCACTCTTTGACATCATTGGAACACCGTTGAAAGGTCGGCGACCTTTCACTTTTCTATCGATACTTCCAAGGGAAATGTGCTTCGAAAATCTCTGCTATCATCCCTTCACTAGCAATACCAGTCAGACGAACTAGACAAGCCCAGTCAGCACATCCTTTCGTAGTCATCAACCTCTAAAGATGTCGAACAGCACTTTATCGAAACTCCTTCATCCATGGAACGGCTATGCTCTGGAATTCCGTGCCTGAGGAAGTATTAATTCCCAACAAAATATAATCTCCAGAAGTTCAAAAAAAAATTCCAATACCTACCTCCTATCCCTATCCTCCCTATATAGCAGGAATAACGCACGATGTTCTTGAACATTAAAGGGATTCTTTCGTGCGCTCCAAGCGATAAAAAAATGATACCTTTACTGCGCGAAGCAGGTTATAAAATGCCAATGGAGGGAGACAGTTCGTTTCTAGGCAATGAAAATAATAGTACATGTGCTTAGACAAAAATATTTCAATTCGCCCAAGAGTCGTTACCAATTTATTGGGCCGCACTGTACCTACAGAGTATTTGGGGTGAGAGCTCTATTAGTACGAGAATGGTTCACTAAGCAAAGTTGGAAGCTATATTGATGCAATATTTTTTTTCAAGCAATATATCTTTAATCAGGATTTGATTACAATGTGGTATAAATACATACAATACTTTTACACATTTTCAACTTTCATAATCTATACATTGCATAGTCCCAATTCAAGAAAACCCCTAAGCAGTAGAAAATACTGGTAACGGGGATTATAACTAATAACATTCTGTCCTATATGTACAATGGAAATATAGTAATTCATAGAATCAATATTGATTTTTATACAGTAGAATTTTTCAGGTACTTTCTAATTTCCTTAACGAATAACTTTTCATTTGGTATTTCCTTAAATGCTTGTGGTATTGAATTATATACATGTATGCACCTATTCATAGGATTATTTAGTGCAACATATTTGTTCGAATATTTGGAAGGTATATGTAATTTTGATTTCTTACGTTATAGTTATGTATTTCATTGAGGTTCAAGAAATTTATATTTGTTTTTTGTTTGCGATTTACTAATAAAATCTAATAACTAATAACTAAAACTAATAGTTTGTTTAATTTTGTTGTTTCGTATACAGTATTCGTTGGTGTTGAGTAGTTGATAGAGAATAATATCTTAATAACCTTGTTTTGCAATCTTTGCATTTCTTGAAATGACGTTTTATTACATGTTCCCCATATTACGATCAGATACCTAAAGATCGACAGAAAGTATGAGTTGTAGATCATGTATTTCACTTCAGTGCTCAGATATTCCCTGCATTTAAATAGTGCTCCAACCATGGGTAACATTTTTTTAGTTATGTGATCTATGTGGTGCTTCCAGCTCAAATTTTCATCCAATATGAGACCTAAATATTTGAGATTGTTAACCTTTTCAACCTGTTCTTCACCTATTTTCATTTCAACGCCACCAATGCTCACATTTTTTTGTTTGAAAATTATAAATTTTGTTTTCTTCATATTGAGTTTTAGTTTGTTATGTAAGAGCCAGTTTTTATATATTTTCATATCTTCGATTACGAGGTTGTTGAGTTCTTCTATATTTGTGCCAGTATACGTCAAGACCGTGTCGTCAGCAAATGTAAAATAGCGAGTATTTAATTCAGCAGATTTTAGACTGAGCACGAGTAAAGAATAAAAGAGCGGACCCAAGACAGAACCTTGAGGCACGCCATTTTTTATTTCACGTATGCTGCTTGCATGATTGTCCATGTAGACATACTGTCTTCGGCCGTTTAGGTATGATCTTATCAAGTTATATATCTGACCCCTTAACCCCATCTTCTCTAGTTTCTGCAACAATGTGTCATGATCAACAACATCAAAGGCTTTCTGAAGGTCGATAAACACTGCTATTACAACTTTTTTTTTGTCCATATTTGAAGAAATCAAGTCAATCAAGTCTACCGTTGCACTTTGGGTATTACTTTGTTTAATGAATCCGTATTGGTATGGATCTGCCTGAATATTTTCTTCGAGAAATTTTATTATTCTAATTTTCAGCAATATTTCAATAATTTTGGATAAGACACTCACAACGGATATGGGTCTATAATTTCCTAACACATTTTTGTTACCAGATTTGTAGATAGGACATACCCGATTTGTTTTCAAGATTTCTGGAAATGTACATGTTGTAAAAACCTCGTTTATCAACTTAACTAGAATCGGAAGTACTTGATCTAAGAGAGTTATCAAGTCTTTGACGTTTATTTGATCATGTCCACATGCTGAGTTCTCATTTAATTCTGTAATCACCTGCTTTACTTCACTTTCATTCGTATATTCTAACTGAAAATTTGCTTTGCAATTGATATCTTCAGAATTCAAGGTCTCAATTTGATCATTTCTTTCTTTTTCTATATCTTTTACAATCTCACCACCAATTGTTACGAAATAATAGTTTAAATGGTCCACTATATCAGTTTTGTTTTCAATGACTTTGTCTTCAACTACTATGGAGTCAATTCATTCATCTCTTCCTTCTTTTGGCTGTTGGAGCAATTACTAAAACGGGCGTTCAGCGATATTGCAAAGAGGTCGTTTGATAATGTAGCGTTGCAGCAATATTAAATGTTGCTGATATTGATATTGCAGGAACGTTACATTTGAACAACTATACTTTTTCAATTTTGCTGAGCGTCCGTTTCAGTTATCGCTACAACCTAGCATAAACTTAGCTTCCATCATCTGATAACGAAATAATATTTGTTCCGAAGGCATGTAAAACCATTGCATTTTATCGAACGGCACCTGTGCTAATAATCGCTATCCTGAGCAAAATGATTGAAAAATCGCACTTTCCAGTGCGGTAATTTGCACTCCATTTCGCGATTGATAACGAGATAAGGGACGCCATCCGATAATAAGTGAATATATTAGATTTCAAAAACCTACCTGATGTGCCACTCTCAATCAGAACCGAAAATTCATGACACAGCGATTTATTTGCTGTCATATTATTCCGGACATACCTCCATCATGTAATAATAACGAGTTAAAACAAAAAGCAAATGAATGGGCGGGAAGATGTCCCCTTTGCGAAAATCCAAACGTGCCGCGATTCAAACTGATCTAAGTCAGTGGCAGGAGCATTAATATTTCCGGGATAATTTCGCTTCTCTCTAGAGATAATATACGCTGGACCAATGTAAATTTCAACATGTGGATTAGAAATATACTCGTAGCGCGAGCACCACATCTATTTGATCACATTTGGCAATGTCTTATTATCATTGAAAAATATAATGAATATAGAAAAACTTGAGACTCAAAATGGACGTCCTGAGAACGTACGCTATGTATACGCCCCGAAGACGTGGATGGTACGTTCTGAGAACGTCCATATTAGGTTCCGGGACGTACGGACTCGAATCGGCCGTAATATGTACGTCCTCGGGACGTCGTGTGCTGTCTGGGATTTTGCAGAATTCTGGAGGGCATATGACAAATAAGCTATTAATTAATTATACAAATGAAGAATCTTCCAAATAGCATGCAGTGTAGAATCACGGAAAACCTGCAATGCATTTTTAGTTTTACCAAAATTTTCCAGCGTTGATCAGACGAGGGGCGCATGTCATTTTTTCCGGAGTGTTTTTCTTACTAAAACTCAAATGAGCGACTCTCATCGGCATGCAATTTGAAAACACGTACGGAAGTCCCCTTTAAATTTCTTCAGTTTTTCCCTTTTGAGCCCTTTCGGCCGCTGCGGATTGCATGCCATCAATATAAGGCGCTATTCCGTATGAAGTGCACATGTGCGAAGGCCAGGAACCTGTCTATTGTTTGTATTTTGGGGATAACTATAAAGCCCTTAAAAAGGCATGTAGTGTTAATGGTAGAACGTCACCTGTCACCTTCTCCTGGTCTATTAGGGGCATCTGAGTTGCATGATTAAAGGAGGAAAATAGAAAAACCAATTCTGTTTTTTGTTTTATTTAGTGCTGAAAGGTAGTATAATTCACAAATAAATAAAATAGCAAACTAAAGGACAAACACGACAATAAAATTTCAACATTAAAACAAATTCTTAAGTATAAAAAATATAAGGTAAGGTGTAGTAATAGTTATATCATAATGACCATACAAATTAAAACGCGCTAATTTACTGGGTTCAAAAAGCTAATAAAAAAACCATCAAAGTGTTCAGAGAAGGACGTATAAATAGATAAAAAATTATCATCAAGTGTATCATCCAAAAAATTAACACATTTTCGAAAGAAATAAGCTAATAGAATTTAGCACCCAATGATGAAAATTCACGAATATAAACTTTAAATATATACAGAAGAGTGCATAGCAATCACATCAGCACACCTAAGCAGTAAAAAGCTTAACTTAGGATATACATACTTATTTTTTGTTTTTCCACTTTTTATGCCATCAACTCTTATTCGTATCAGTTATATATATATAAATTAAACCTAAAATTTATTATTCTCGTTACAACGAAAGTCTTTCTCGTATCCACCCAGTAGATATATCCGTTACCGATCTCATCCTCACAGCTCTCTTTCTTTCTCTCTATACACACATAATTATTAAGGGCATAATATATCGTGATATACGTGGTGTTTCAGGTAGTCCGTTCGTTAAAAATATTCGTTGTTCGAATTTGAATGAAATTCTGAAGATTCGGCACGCGGGCTCAATCGATATGGTCGATCAATATTGTTGTCTTCACTACATGTATAATAAGATGATACTCATACAAACGACGATAAAATTCAAAACAGCACTCGTAATTTCGAAATTCTATGCTATGTTCCATCCCAACCAGTGTAAACAAAGATACTTAAGAAATTGCATTGCCCCTGTATATCCATTAACCAGTAGTACCTGTCTTCTTTTGTTCTGTTCCTTGGTTTCCTGACTTATTGGTAAAAATTTTACTGATTTCATGGATAGGATCGATTCCTAGATGTTGTGATATTGTTTTCGGATCATTTAAAATCTAATATCTTGTAATTTTCCCTCATTATTTTCATTACTAGATCAAATAGGTAATTTGTGAAACATAAATGACAAAACATCTTCATTTTCCCACAGTTTACTGGAAATATTATTGATAATATTGTCAAACATATTCGATACTCTTTGCACTTCGAGAAGATCGGTGCATCTTCCTATTTGCTGGATATGCTCTAACTCAAGTCATCTTTCCTCAAATACTTGAAAAGCCACTAGCGTGAGTTGTGCTGTTTGTTGACCATACCGATTGTAAAAACAACTTCCAGAATTTCATTGAAATGGGGACACCGAAAACTTCCAATGAACGGCTTACGTGAAAAACACGTAAATATATAAAAAAGTAATAGTAACAGTTATTCCTTGCTAAAGCTCAATATCCTCTCAGTCGGCGTTGGATTGGACGAGAATAGACTCCGTGATCAACTTGTTGTCGACCGGAGAATTGTCCTTTAGGAGCTGATCACTGATCATCGTGATTTCCTCAATCACCGTTTCTGAGGTGCCATTTTGCTTCGGCTTCTCGATTTTAGTGGTCTTTGTTCTCACGATTTCGGTCGGTTTTTTGGCCATGGTGGATTTCATGGTGGTGGTGGTCGTTTTCGATGTGATCGTTCGGGTTGACGAAGTCTGGAAGAAGTAGAGAAATTAAGAACTTACGTTACCTTATTAAATTCATCTTGTTAACATATTGTTAGGAAATATTAAATCAACCTAAAAATAAATCGGCACTCTCATGTACAAGGTGATTGTTTATATTTTACTGAATAGCTCTCTTAGTTGATATTGGTCTTACAGAAACGTTCAAATGGGCATATGAAGTATTTTTATGTAAAACAAGGACACAAAGAGAGAAACTGGAAGTCATCTACAGCGTGTCTCATTTCAAACGGCCCCCCCTCTATATCTCAGTTATCAGTCGTGCGATCTTTACCAAATTTATATCGGTATGAGTAATCAATAATAGGACCAGTTCTTCAGAGACAAACATCATTTTAGACAGTGCCGTGCATTTTTATTGAAATGAATAGGGGTCAGTTTTCAATTAAATCCTATTAGGCATTTTTTCACAGGAAAACTGACCTCATAATATTATTCTTCATGGTTTCCAACCCACACATGTGGATTTTCATAAGATGCCTATGAAGGGTTTCAGAAAAACAGGCACATCTAAACAGCATCTTTGCGAACGTAATAATTATTTACTCGGAAACGGTAAGTTCAACAAAAAAAAGTATAACCCGTTTCTCCTTCCAAATCATGATTTTCCACCAACCGGAGCCATTAAACGTTCCAAAATTAGTAGTTGATTCGAAGTCACTATTTATGAGAGACTGAAAAGAAAAAAATGAAGCCAATCCTGTTAATTCGGAATTAGGTGATTTTCTGCTTATGGGGGTTCGAAAGCATGAGGAACAATAATATGGGGTTAGATTTCCTGTAAAAAAATGCCAAATAAGATTTCATGAAGAATCGACCCCTTTTTATTTCAATAATAATTATTATTAATTGAAATTCATTCGAAATTCAATTAAAAATATTAATCTTTCAAACGAAAATAAATTCTACAGTCAAGTGAGAGGTAGCAAATCCGCATTTCATCACGTTTGCGTATTGGTATCATAATATTCAATTATGGCTTCTCGATTTTCAAAAGCCGAATCACCAATTTGCTCAAAGTCCAACCAATCCTCAAAGTTGATACATGTTTTTGCGGAGAATTCATTAAAGAATCAATTAATCAAAAACCAAAACACGATCTCAAATACTTCAGCACTAAAAACGTCACGATAGATAGTACAGATTAGAACGTTTGGTTCAGCGAAAACGTCACTGATTTAAAACAAAATAAAAATTGTTAGTTTAGAAGTCAACACTAATAAAGCGGGATTTGGTAATATGTAACTATAGTTCATCCTTCATCTAACTACCTTCTCAAATTTTGAAGAAATAAGCTTGCATTAATATAAAAAATAAGGATGAGGCGTGTTTTGCTTGAGCAATGGGCGTGTACACCTTAGTAGAACTTTCAACTCAAACCTTGTTCATAATGATCCTTTTATACATAAATAATGATTGACGACATAATTCGAACGAAAAATCAACTGGAATGTTTTATTTTTGGACATAAATAATAGTACCTTCTGAAAACGGACCCTCTTATGACGTAGAAACCTCATCTCGCCTGGAACCAATGAGCGTGACCCATGTGTGACACTTATCACTATTGTCATATCATCCGAACAAAATATCCGAGAGATCGAAATCGATATTGAAATATCTTTTGATATCCACTACCACTACCGCAGAAAAATATATTCAAGTTGTCGATTGTAGGTTGAATCATTGGAATATAAACAATCTCTAGATAACGTAATGTCTCAATCTCAAAACCATTTGCACCATTACAATTTCACAATAATCCAATACATTTAATAAACGCATCAACATTTGCATCGAGTCTCGAATTATTCCGATTCTGAAGTTATTTATGTCGTCTAAAATGAGAAGAACACGAAATGAAATTAACCTCCAAATATTGCTTTATATTATATTGATATATTGAATATTTAACATCAGAATACCCATCATATGGAGAATCCTCATTAAATCAGTCACTGATTGATATGTTTACCTATGCAACAATATGTTCAATTGGTATGAAACAATGTATGGTTATTCTCTAGACTAGATGCTGCTTGCATCTCCCCCTGAATGTTCTTCTAGGAGATGGATCATTTATTTTTCAAGCAATTTCCTAATGAATTTCTGCAAAGCAAAACTACTACAATATTGTGTTTACCCAGTGAGGGGCCAGATTTGTTCCCAAAATTCCCAGCTAAATGATGTTTTTATAATTGCAATTAGGCACAAAACATTTCTTAATCATACTTTTGTCGAAATATTTCAATTTAATATTCAAAAGTTTCGCGATTTGCAAAAAGCTAATATAGGTTAGATATAGTATTGATCTTCTTCTTGTTCTTATTATCTTTGTCCCAAAAATCAACTTGCCATCATTTTGCCGATTTACCAATTTTGGTGCTTTGTCAGAAATCATGTATCATTCATCTCTGTCTGGAATAGTCTTGTTTCAGTATTAGGGTTTTGACGTCACATGATCGCCTCGATTTCAGAGGTCCGAGAAATCGGGGATTTCAATAATTTTAACAAAGATTTTCTTTGCCCCGATGTGTTTATAAATTCATTTTCAGACCTTAAACAATTTCTTCAGTAGATAGTCAGTGACACTTCGTGAAATAAGATGTTGAAAGGTATTTGAGTAAAAAATTATGAAGAAAATATGTGAAGATGTATTACTCTCCAAATCAACTAGAGGTTTCGGAAAACACTCTGTATCCATTATCAACATGGAATTCTTCCGAACAAATGTAATGCAAGATTCTTATGATGACAACGGGAACAGAGTGGTTCCCAAAACTTCCAGTTCATAGATATTTATATTTTTCATTTAAGAAAAAATCTTAGATCATTTTCAACATCTCTACAAAGTGTACTGACTATTATCAAGATATTCTCCTTCAGGTCCTGAAATTGAATTTTCAAACGCATTGACATTCCAGGGAATACTCATCCGTGGATGAAAATTGCATCTTCTTGAAGAACATAAATATAGAAAGTAAGTAGTATAACTCACATGAATTAAATTTCGAATAATAGTTCCTTGTCAACATCAACTTAATTTAATATGAATTATTCAGGAAGTAACATTTTTCAAAAACAAATATTTTCATTAGAACTCATTGACTCTTCCTCCGATGACGTATCACTCTCATCTGAATTGAAAGTTATCACGACAGGTTCAATATTGGAAGCATCTATGTATTTCTCCCTCTCCCATGCCGAAATTATCACTTTTTCTGTATGTCGTACATAATTTCTCCAATGCTCCACACCCACAGCTTCTAACGCCTTTGTCCAGACCATTATCATATCTCCCGAGGATGATTTAGTTTTCATGATTTCGGCGTCATGAATCTTTTTAGCTTCTGACCACACCATTTCTATAGCATTATATTGGCAATGGTGAGGTGGTAATCTCAAAATATTGTGACCATGTTCTGATGCGTAAATATCTAGATGATATATTTTTTTCGGCAACTGAATCCTTATTTTTTTCCCAGAGTTCATCCTTCATTGATTTCTCTGGATAATCAATGCCCTTACCATGTAACCACTGAATCATTTCAATTTTTGTCCAACTTTTGCAAGGGACTTCTTCTTCGCATCGGGAATGATAACTGGCGTTATCCATTATAATTAATGATGGTTCTTCCAAGTTAGGAATCAGCTGGGACTTAAACCATTTTTCAAAATTATTTGTGTTCATGTTATCATGATAGTCACCACTCTTAGTTTTACTTCTGAAAATCAAACCAGCATCTTGAATGAATCCATTCTCATTTCCTGCATTAACTATAATATATCTGATTCCATCTCCTGATTTTTTGCTTGTAGTATCCATCCCCGTCTTGCAAATTTTTTCTATTTTCACCCTCACTGAAAACCCAAGTATCATCAATAAAAACTGGCTTGAAATTCTTCAAACTCTTCTCTCTTGTATAATGCCTTAGGAATGACGTACGCTTGCCTGCAATTGATGGTTGTTCTACAAGAAACGGCCTATTGTTGCTCCTCTTGAATTTGAATCCAATTTTGCGAGTCCAGGTATTCACTGATCTTGGTGAACAAGGAAAATCAGGCCATTCTTCAGTGAAACGCTTATGAAGCGATTTTATTGTAACATGTACTTTTCTAACATACATCTCATGAACAATATCTCTCAGAACCTGTAAAATTGTGGGATTCACCTTTTTTTATTTCTGCGGCCTTTTTCGAAACTGCTTCTGCATAAACAGCATCAGAGTTTGTTTGCGAATTCTTGATCCGATAAATACTCCTTTTTGAAATATTCAAAGCTTCCGCGGCAATGCTGACAAGATTTGAACTTGGCAGAAATCATGGTGTTTTTCAAAATATGCGATCATACTCAGAATCAATGTTTTAGATTGATCATTGAATCGTTTCACCATTATGATATAAGGAATTCGAAATATTATTGATGTATAACCAGTACTCTAATTATTTGACATCAAGTCACAGTGACAATTCCATGATCAAAATATATGGATCGAGTTCTGACGTTCCTTTTTCTTTCCTTTCTCATTCAGCTTGCGAAAAATACAAAGAAACATAATGTCGACTTGGTGTATTTCCACGACTTTAGCATTAAATAGTCAATTGACTCATCACACGCTGGAAGAAGAAACTGAACTGCTCACCTTGCTCTCCACCCTTCTCACCCCGCTCGCGGCGCTCCTAGCGCTCGTCGCGGTCCTGCCGGCGACGTTGCCGCTCCTCGCGGCCGCCGTCACCTTGTTGGCGCTCTCCTTGCTCTGCTTCTCGGCATCGGGGGCGGCCCGGGCGGCCGGTCTCGCAGGCGGCGCGCGTGCCTTCAACGGGGCGGCAGGGGCGGCCGGATTCGATCGTGGGGCGGCGGTGGCCGTGGCAGCGGCGGATCTGCTGATGGGGGCCTGGAACGAGCGAATTTCCAACATTGATTAATTGTTTTTGGATGTATTGTAGCATGATTGTCCATAATATAATTACAAATAATAACGCATAGCCGAAGCATAACAATATTTTTTTTTGTTTTATACTTCCATACTTCCAATATATCAAATTCTCCTGTCCCGGTCACGGTTTAGTGGTCGAACTCATCCGGAACATCTCGACCGATTCGTATGAAATTTTTTGTGCGTATTCGGTAGGTATGAGAATCGGTCGTAATCTATTTTTTAAATCGAAAATTCAATATGTCGGATCCAATATGGCGGACGAGTATTGTTATCCGATTTCATTCAAAATTGGTATTTGGGGGTTTTCGGGGTCAGAAATTATGATTCTTTGGTCAAATTTTGGAAATTCAAATTGGTGGATCCAATATGGCGGACGAGTTTTGTAATTATGGTCAGATTCCATTCAAAATTGGTATCTGGGGGTTTCCGAGGTCAGAGATTGATTTTTTATCAAAATTAGGAAATTCAAAACGGCGGATTCAATATGGCGGACGAGTTTTGTAATTATGATCCAATTATATTTGGTATCTGAGGGTTTTCTGGGTCGGAGATTATGGTTCGTTCGACAAAATTTGGAAATTCGAAATGGCGGATCTAATATGACGGACGAGTTTTGTAATTATGGTCAGATTCTATTCAAAATAGGTATCTGGAGGTTTGAGAGGTCGAAGATATGAATAATCATTTGTCAAAATGGGGAAATTCAAAATGGCGGATCCAATATGGCGGACGTTTATTAATTATGAACAGATTCTATGTAAAATTGATTCTTTCATCAAAATTTGGAAATCCAAGATGGCAGATTTAATATGGCGGACGAGTTTTGTAACTATGATCCGATTTCATTCCAAATTAGTATCTGGGGGATTTTGGGATCGGAGATTATGATTCTTCATCAAAATTAGGAAATTAAAGATGGAGGATCCAATATGGCAACTGAGTGTAGATGGAGGATCCAATATGGCAACTGAGTGTTGTAATTATGATCCGATTCAATTCTAAATATTGTCTAGAAATAATTGTATATAGCAAAACAACGTTTGCCGGGTATCAGCTATTGTAATAAATATTAGGTTGAAAAACTAATGGAACACCTTTTTATAGATAGCCAAACCAGAGAGTATGTATAATCTCTGGCCAAACTGAAAAGGAGTGAGTAGAAAATAAACAGTAGTTTGAAAAAATGAAGAGGTATAGAGTACCGAACCAAAAAGAAGTAGAAAAGAAATAGAGTAGTTTGAAAAACTAAAGAATCCCGCTTTAATGATTGACAAATTGAAAAGAAGTAGAAATACAATAATGAAAGTTTTGTGATAAACATTTATCTAAAAATTTTTTTCTAGAAATAATGTTTATGACAAGACAACGTTTGCCGGGTCAGCTGGTGATAAATAATATTTTTATCTTCAGAATATGGGGAAGAAATATATCCGCAAGACTACACGGGATTCATTTAGTTAAGATTCTTTGGCAGAGGCAATGGGAAAAGTTATATCCAGAGAAATGGATGTAAATGAAGCAAGTAGAAACTCTTTCAAAATTTTGGAGAGAAGATAATCTCATTTTCTTGATTCCTCACCAAATTGGTAAAAGAGAACAACATGCTTTAGAGCTAACGTCTCCTGAAAATCGTGCCAAAAAGCAAGTTTTTTCAGACGATAAGAAAGCCATCGCCGAGAAAAAAGAAATTAAGAAGAAAGCAAAAATATCCAATGATAAAATCTAAATCACGTATTTCTTCAAGCTCCGAAAGTGAACCCATTCTAAGCTCTTATGATGAGATGTCGGATGATACTGAAAACTTTTGTATCGAATATAGGAATACTTTTTTACTAGGAAGTCAAAAGTTGACTGGATTAAAGCCATTTTTCCTCGAAGTTAACCACACAAACCGGGCCAACAATAAGTTAACAAGCCAATTCTCCTGGAGGTATATTCCAAACTATGACGTAATAGTTAAACAACCACACAAACCAGCTCACTGAGGTAGTTCATGAAGTAGTTAAGGCTTTTAATTGGGTACTGGATTGCGGATTGGGCTCTTGCTGTTGTTATAATCTGAGATTATATAATTGATAAGAAAAATTAATTGAGATCTCATCATATTATTGATGGAAATGAATATTTGATTCATTGTAAATATGTACGTAGCAAATTGTTCCAATTTTTATTAATTTGAAGTAGGTAAATACCTAGTACCTAGCTATATTATATTTTTGTTACAGATTATGAATATATTTCTATTGCTCAAGGTATTAATACTCAAACCAAATAATTAACAAAAACAGCTGATAAACTGACATCTGTCAAGCTTCACAAGTAAACCGTGAAGTCATAATAAAGTTACCGTGACGTCACCATAAAGTTAACCTGGTTTGTCTGGTTAGGTTCGAGGAAAAATTACTAATATGTCCTAAGTGTAGTGGTTGGCTACACGAGACTTGCGAGAGTCACTTAACCACATGCAGTGGTAGTGGAAATTGACGTTAGTGTCATCTTCTTAACAGGGTACGGACAGATCATAGCTGCATTCTTTTTTATTGACCTAGACTTTAGTTTTGTCGGCGGGAGTCACTTAACCACATGCAGTGGTGGTGGAAATTGACGTTAGTGTCATCTTAACAGGGTACGGACAGATCATAGCTGCATTCTTTTTTATTGATCTAAAGACTTTAGTTTTGTCTACTGGCATCCCTGAAATTACTATCACGTCACATCCATGGGCGCTACAGAAAATCATTCAAAATTTAAATAATAGATATGTACAGGGTATTTACTTGTTGAGGAAGATCATATAATGAACGAGTTTAGTAATTATGATCCGATTCTATTCAAAATTGGAAGGTATCTGGGGTTTTCCGGGGTTGGAGATAATGATTGTTTCATCAAACTTGGGAAAATTCAAGATAAGAGATCTAATATATATTGAAAGAAATTTCTAATTATAATCTGATTCTATTTAGGATTGGTATCTGAGGGTTTTTGTGGTCGAACTTTATGATTTTTTGTCAACATTGGGAAATTCAAGATAGCGGATCCAATATGGAGAACGAATTTTGTAATTATGATTCGATTCTATTCGAGAATCAAAATTAATATCTGGGGATTTCCGGGGTCGGAGATTATAATTATATCGTCAAAATTGGGATATTCTAGATGGCAGATCCAATATGGTGGACGAGTTTTGTAATGAGGATCTGATTCATTTCAAAATTGGTATCTGGAGGTTTTCGGGGTTTCAGAATTGAATAAGGGTGGAACTATATAACTGTTTCACAAACACTTTAGAGTGAGAGGAGACGAGGAGCTGTCCGTACCCTGTTAAGATGACTTTAACGTCAATTTCCATCAAGGGACCCTAGTTTACCCTATTGAAATTTTGGAAAATATCACTACATAGTTTTTGCAATAAAATGTCACAGCAAAATACTCACCCTTGTCGCTGCGGGCACACTCTTGCCGGGCGAGGTGCCGCCCGCCGCCCTGCTGCCGGTCAGAGTTGCAGGCCGGGCAGCCGTTCTAGGGGCAGCCGTCGCTCCAGAGGCCGTGGCGGGCCGGGCGGCAGACCTGGGAGCCGCCGGTTTAGCCGGCGCCGGTTTCGTCGGGCTCAGTTTGGAGGAGGCGGCAGCGGCGAGCCTATAAACAAAAAGAGTGTATCTACTCACTTCAAGTATACTATAGTTTGTTCTTCGAAAAATGATATGCGAAAATCTAATTTATTGGCGATGTTTTCAGTAAACCGGTGATCTCTATTTCGAACTAGGTTATTTTCTTGTTATCCTAGCCCTATACATAATTCGTATTCCTGTCAAGATTCACCTTTCCGTCAAGTTTCTAAACAAACTTTTCCAGAATAAACGTTGTCCATTTGATTAGGTACCTTGAACTAGTCGATGTTTTCAGAGCAGATGTGGACTCTGACCGGAGGTTTGACAATATAAACCTCTATTTCAAATTAAGTTATTCATTTTTTATCCTAACCATAGAAATGTTTCGTATTCCTGTCAAGATTCACCTTTCCGTCAAGTTTCTAAACAAACTTTTCCAGAATAAACGTTGTCCATTTGATTAGGTACCTTGCACTAGTCGATGTTTTCAGAGCAGTTGTGGACTATGACCGGAGGTTTGACAATATAAACCTCTATTTCAAATTAAGTTATTCATTTTTTATCCTAACCATAGAAATGTTACGTTTTCCTGTCAAGATACACCTTTCCCTCAAGATTGTAAACAAAAATTTCTCATGTTTGACCATTTTAAGCATGATAATTGTTCATTTACCTGGTACCTCTGGTACCTTGCAATACCGGAGTTAGTCAGAGCATTGGAGTATTCTGAATGTTGTTATGATCATAACAATATTGCCAATTTAGCAATGTTATAACAAGATCCGAACAGAACCGACCCGATTGACGATATTTTCAGTAAGCCAGTGGAGTGACCTCTATTTCAAATAAAATCATTCATTTGCTATCTTGACCCTGGAAATGTTTCGTATTCCTCAGGAGATTCACCTACCTGTCGAGTTTATGAACAAAAATGACCCATGTTGAAACATTTCAACTATGAACATTGTTAATTTAATCTTTGGTTCAGGGTTACTCAAAGTGGAGTGAATAGGAAACAAAGGTACAAGTTCTCTCCATTATCCCATCTGATGTGCACCTTGTGGTGGACCTTCCATTTGTATCCCCCCATTATATTTACAGTTGGGGTTTTTGGGCTTCCCCCTCGGATAAAAATGAAAACCATCTTTGTTAAATCTCTTCAAGATTAAGGTTTAATTTGACCTCTTTTCATTCCCACGATATGTAGTAATAATTAATAAGACAGAGAATGGACACAAAGGTACATATTGCCTCCATTCTCCCATCTGAAAGTTTCAAACAACCATTACAGGTATATAAAGTCAATAATATTTGCAATGCTAATCATACATTCTGATAAAGTTCTTTTTAGTTGCGATCTTTCATAAAATTCAAAACATATGCAGGGGTAACCAAAATTCTGATTAGGTGAGTTTATCACACCACATATACCTTGTCAAAGGTCGAGTTGTTTCGAAATTTGTTTCATATTATACAAATGTACCAAGATTTGTAGTACTCATTTAACTTCAAATATGTCATTAACTGAAATGAATGATGAAATTAAGATATGGTGTAATTACTGATGCGCTTTTGTTTCAGAAATTTGACTCTGCCTCTCGGGAACAGCGAGAGCATTGCGGTTCCGTCGGTCTTCTAATAGATGGCGATATTGCACAATTGTGACATCTGTCAGTTTTGAAATTGTCGCAGATTTTTCGAATTCAGAGTTGAATAATCCCATTTGCTATTTTATTTCCACTCTTCACAGCAGCAATAGCACCATCAGAATCTAGCAGGAAAATGTAGAATCAACGTCTCGCTCGTTGTGACGTAGAGAAATCATAGTAGGAGGTCGAGTGATATTTCTGAAATTTTCAATACGTAATAATGGCCGAATACGCATCATTCTGAAATGAATGAAAAATTAAACCTGATTTTTTTCTGTAGAAGCTATTGGCACGTGGCGGGCAATTTCACCAGCTTGACGCTCAACATATTGAATTATCCATGTGGCACCAAGATTAGGTCCAAGCTTAGGTTCAATTTCTAGTTCTTCAGCCAATTCCTCTGCAGTTAAAATAGCGATTTCAGAGTTAGTATTTCTATATTCTTACGAGAAAGTGCAGCATTCTTTCAACATTTCTGTGCATTTACTGAGATCTATATCTGTTGATTGTGAGATGCGCTAATGACGTTGATTTGAAAAATTTGAGGAATTTATAGGGGTTTCTGCGGCGCCCCTTTTCATCCAGCGCCCTGGGCGGTCGCCCAACCGCGCCCTACCCTAACGCCGCTACTGGATCTGTTTGATCATATTTAAATGTCGTGGAGATGACTTGGAGTATTATTGGTAGTTATTGTTGATTGAGCTAGGTACCTTGCACTAGTCGATGTTTTCAGAGCAGTGGTGGACTCTGACGGGACTTTTTTCGCCGTCAATGCAGACCTGACGGGCGGTTTGACGTCGCCGTTCGCCAACGGCTTCTTTTCGGCCGGTTTGGACGCCGCCGCCGGTCTCGGCTTGGCGATCGGCTTAGGCGCCGCCGTTTTGGGAGCAGCCGTGGTGGTGGTGGTGGTCGAGGGCTTAGCCGATCTGGAAGAAACAAACAGGGATTCAACGATTGAGGGAATGTTGTTACGTTATGTGCGTTTAACTCTAATATCCAAATGTAGACAACTAGGAACACACATCACAAAAAGGTAGTATAAGGATTTCAATACTCGAGAGCTGCTGCCACCTATGTCAAAAGGCCTGTTCGTTTGTGTTTGCTCTACCTGCTGAACTTGATTTTTTCGATGACTCTCTATTTACATTATGCCGTGAACAGAGAAAACTATGGGAACAAAATCAACTTTAGCAAGTTCAGCAACACAAACGAACAGACCTAGATAATGTAACCTCTTTTTCGTACGATTTCAAAGTTTCGGGAATAACGAACAGAATACAAAAATACAATTGTACACGCCTTAGACGGTTAGATCCACAAGTTTTCGCAAGTATGATTATGAGACTACAATATGTATTGTGTAGTATTTTCGACTGTCAGAGTTTCTCAGTATCATGAAAATTTTGATATGATTTTTTTAATAACTAACTGAGAACGTCTTGCGATAATTTAGGGACACGTTAATCGGATGTAAAGGTTAAAGATATGAACTTGGTAGAACCGCTAACTTCGTTAAATAACTCACATGGAATACCCTACATAGTCAAGATGTCATTCAATCAACTTACCCAGGTCTAGCCGGTGCCACCTTAGGAGAAACCCCAGCCCGACTGGCCCCCGCCTTAGCGGCCGCCGGCGCCCTCGCGCTCAATTTAGCAGCAGTCGCAGGCGCCCCGTTCTTAGTCGCAGCCGCCGGCGGTCTCTTCGACGCCGCGCTGCCCGGCTTCTTCTTCTCCTCGTGCACGGCCGCAGTAGCAACCGCAGCGATGGCCGCCCCGGCAGCCACAGCCGAAGCCACACCCACCTAAGGTTGGAAAAATTCCACTTGAAATTTACATGAAATAACACTTCTTCAAGAAATTAACGCACCAGCAAAACATAACCAGAAGTAAAAAAATTAATTGAAAATTAGTGGATAATAGCTCTATCTCTTAGTTCTTTACAAATTTATTTAGCTAAAGTTGGTAAAAACTTATTTTCTTACATAATCAGAAGTTGAGTGAAACTGTCATTTTATCTTTAAATTTTTAGAAATGTTTTCAGTTGCTATGGTAATGATGCAAAATACAGGCTTTCAATAGAATTTTTATTTTTTGTCTTCGACTCGGGAAAATTTTGAAGATATTCGTGTTCTCGAAATTTTTTTTAATAATAATTGGAGCTCTAGTAATAATATACAGGGTGACATTTTGAAAACTTCCCACCGTCAATATACAGTTTGTCCAAGATAAGGTTGAACAGCAAGGGGATCTCGGAAACGGTAGGAGATACGAAGTCGCTTAAATGGGGAAAAAGTTGCGCATTCGGAGGCTCCTATCAAGAGCCTTCGAAAATTTTGAAAATTATTTTTAGTTTTTGAGTTATATCGAAAAAAGTGAATTTTTGGAATTTCTATTTTATTTTTTTTCTCCGTTATTATCAGAGATACAGAAAAACTGAAAATACTTTTTTATTGCAACTTTTGATGAGGTTTAACGTGGTGATACCAATTTTTTTATGCGACGTTTCGTATTCGTGGAACCATCATCAACTTTTGTTTTTCAAATACGGTCCTGATAATTTTTTCACAGATTCTGAAAGGTTTTTTTATTCTGAATTCAACAATGTACTATACAAGGTGATTCGAATGTGTTTCGACCTATTTCTATCCATCATCAATGTTTTTTCGAACTTCCAAAAGAAAAAAAGCCATCAGTTCCACTTATTTCTGATCATTTAGTGTCAAACTTGATGGATTAGTTATTCAATACTGAAAAGTGAATAAAAAATATTTCACTACATCATTCGATCAATGCAGCGTTTAAAATTGTTGATGAATTCTTACACGAATTACTATAACAACTTAACTTTGACAATACCTACAGAGACATTCATAACAAATGTTCAAAATGATAACCATTATTTTCTGAACAAAGATATCCTCTTCTCACAGTTTCTTCTAAGACATTGCTAAGCATTTCTGGGGTTATTCTATTGAATGCTTCGAAGACACTATCCCTTAGTTCTTCTTCATCATCAAAGTTATTTGCGTGTACAAAGTTCGATATATCTCCTAAAAAAAAATCCAGCTGTGTCAAATCAGGCGACCGCGCCGGCCAAGGGATAAACACGCACGGACTTCTCTGGAATTATGTACCGGAGCGCCATCTTGTTGAAACCAACAGAGTTCTGAACTTCCGCAATCGGTAAATCATCCAGAGCTTCCTCAAGATGATTCTCAAGCGAATTTCTATAACGTTCGGAAGTCTGTGTTTCATGGTAAATAGAAGGAACAATAATTCGTGTACCAAATATTGCAACCCACATATTAAAGCCGAAACGGTGTTGGTGTCTCGCTGAAATGTATAAATGTTCATTTTCTCGTGAACAATAATGTGTATTTTTTCTATCGAAGCTACCATAATTAGTGACCATGCTTTCATCAGTCCAGATGATTGTTCGAAAGAAATCTGCAAAATTTCAACATTTCCTGGTATACCACTCACAGAATGTCCTGCGCCTTTCCTCATCGCCTGGTTTTAGCGCTTGACATATTCTGAATTTTTATGGACGGAATTTTTGTTTCCGCAGAATGAAATGGGTTGTTGATTGAAACCAGTTGATGAGGTATTATTGTGTCGACTGATTTTCCTTCAAAATAAGTGGAACTGATGGCATTTTTCTTTGGAATTTCGAAAAAACATTGATGATGGCTGAAAATAGGTCGAAACACACATGAACCACTTTGTATAATACATGGTTGAATTCAGAATGAAAAACCTTTCAGAATCTGTGAAAAAATTATCAGGACCGTATTTAAAAAACAAAAGTTGATGATGGTTCCACGAATACGAAACGTCGCATAAAAAAATCGGTATCACCACGTTGAACGTCATCAAAAGTTGCTATGAAAAAGTATTCTCAGTTTTGCTGTATCTCTAATAATAACGGAGAAAAAAAATAAAATAGATATTCCAAAAATTCACTTTTTTCGATATGACTCAAAAACTTGTTGGACTAATTCAAGTTTCAATTCTACTTTTTTAATAATTGACAACAAATTGACATAACATAACTCTCTATCCAAAATACAAAAATACAGGGTGCCACATTACTCCCCCCCAAGTGTTAACGATACACTATTTTGTCCTCCGAGAATGTCACTTTTTTCCTGGATCGGTTGATTTCAACTGTAGGTGAAGTGCCAGTTTCTCCTTTTTTCATGTCGTTCTCTAAAAACGCGGGCTTGAGTCGATCAATGGAAACGTTTTTCTCTTTACCTTTCATCGATAGCTTGAAGTATTTATCTGTTTTCTCTAATACATTATATGGACCAGAATAGGGTTGTTCTAGAGGCTTTTTAACTGAATCGGTCCTGACGAAAACAAAATTTGTGCTCTGTAGATCCTTGGATATGAAACATTTTTTGTATCTATCATGATTAGTACCAGGGATCACTTTGAAATCAGCCATTGAATTTCGAAGATCTTCCAAGAATTTTGGGTTCATAACGTTCCTTTTACAATTTGGTACTACCATTTCTCCTGGAATTCTCAGTGCTGATCCATAGAGTAGTTCTGCACTAGAAGCTCTCAATTCTTCCTTAGGCATAACACGGATTCCTAGTAAAATGGTTGGAAGAACATCCGTCCAGCTTTCGTTATTATGACATTTCAGGGCTGCTTTTAGAGTTCTATGAAATCTTTCGATCATTCCATTTGAACAAGGGTGATAGGCAGTCGTTCTAATGTGCTGAAATCCCAATAGCTTAGCAAACTCTTGAAATAGGGAAGATTCAAATTGTCTTCCTTGGTCGGTGGTTACCCTGGACGGAACTCCAAACCTCGATATCCAACCATTATAAAATGTCTTCGCTACAGTTTCCGCTGTGATATTTTCTATTGGAAAAGCTTCTGTCCATCTTGAAAAACGATCAATACAGGTGAGGCAGTAGGTGAAACCATGCGAGGGAGGAAGGGGACCAATAATGTCTATATTTACATGCTCAAAACGACTCTCAGGAACTACAAATTTTCCTACAGGTGATACAGTATGTCGAGTAATTTTTGATTTTTGACATAATATGCAACACTGTGACCAATTTCGAATATCTTTCTCCATTTTAGGCCAAACATATTTGCTCTTGATGAGCTTGACTGAAGATCTCACTCCAGGATGAGACATATCGTGAATTTTCTTGAAAATTGAACGTCTTAGATTATTAGGAACATATGGTCGAATCTTGTCTCCTGAAACATCGCAGAATATTTGAGTATTCGAATGCGGAATTTCGATTTTCTTCAAATTCAGAGCGGTTTTTCCATTCAACAATGTTCTTAACTCATCATCATCTGATTGTTCCTTCTCCCAGTCAGTGAAATCTTGGAAACTAATACTGGATATCCGTGATAAAGCATCTGCTACCACGTTATCTGAACCAGAAATGTGACGGATATCAGTTGAAAACTGGCCAATGTACTCCAGATACCTGGTCTGTCTGGGAGACAAAGTATCTGAATTTTTGTTGAAGGCAAATGTTATGGGTTTATGGTCGGTGAAAACGACAAATTCTTTCCCTTCTAACATGTAACGAAAATATTTGATTGACTCATATATAGCTAACAATTCTCGATCATAAGTACTGTATTTCCTTTGAGTATTTGTCAGTGTTTTAGAAAAAAATCCTAACGGTTCCCAGGATTGATTTCGTAGCTGATGAATTGCGGCTCCAATTGAAAAATCTGATGCATCAACCATGAGACACAATGAACTTGTAGGCAAAGGATGAGCTAATAAAGTTGCATTCGATAAAGCAGTCTTCAGTTGGTTGAAAGCACATTCTTGCACAGTAGTCCATTCGAGCTTCTTATTATTGGAAGGATTTCCTTTAAGAAATTCATTGAGGGGAGCTTGTAGGTCAGCTGCTTTAGGAATGGTTGTGCGATAAAAATTTACCATACCAAGAAAACGTCTCAAAGATTTTATATCATTTGGCTTGGCATAGTTTGAAATGGCTTCAATCTTCCTATTAGTTGGTTTTATCCCATGTTTGGAGACATTATAACCAAGAAATTCGATACTCTCTTTGCCAAATTCACTCTTCTCAGGATTGATTACTATGCCATGGTTTTGTAACCTCTCAAATATTATTTTCAGATGTCTCTTATGATCTTCTTCATTTTCTGATGCTATCAGGAAATCATCAATATATGGAAAACAGAACTCGAGGTCTCGTGTTATTTGGTGAACGAATCGTTGGCAACTTTGAGCCGCGTTTCGCAACCCGAAAGGCATATATAGATACTCAAAAAGACCGAATGGAGTGATAATAGCAGTTTTCTTCACGTCTTCAACAGCCATGGGTATCTGATGAAACGCTTTGACAAGATCTATTTTGGAAAATATTTTCTTGGTGTCTAGATTGAAAGAAAAATCTTTTATATTGGGTAGAGGATATCTATCAGGAACTGTTTTCGAGTTCAACATTCGATAATCTCCACATGGGCGCCAAGTTCCGTTAGCTTTCCTGACCATATGAAGCGGACTTGCCCAAGAACTTTTCGATGGTTGAATTATCCCTTGTTCCAGAAGGTACCCAAATTCTTGTTTCGCTGCAGCTAATTTTTCAGGGTTAAGACGGCGTACTCTGCAATATACAGGTGGACCAGTGGTGATTATTTGATGGGAGATATTGCTAGACTTTGTCGATTTATTTATTGAAGAACTTGTTATTCCAGGAAACTCTGCGAGAATATCGTGATAAGGAGATTCCGCATTAATCGTTCTGATGGTAGGTGTGATGTTATTCATACACAAATCACATGAATTTGATATCTTGGTTTCCTTATCGATGATTTTTCTATTATGCAAATCCACTAAGATGCCATATCGTTCAAGGAAATCAGCTCCTATTATAGGTTTATCGATGTCTGCAATCACGAATGTCCAAAGAAAATGTCTTCTCAAACCTAAGGTTACATTAAGAGTTTGTTCTCCGTAGGTAGATATCTTTGAACCATTTGCTGCATATAATGGTTTATCTGAAGGTTGAACCTTTGTTGATGTTTTCGGTAATACAGAAACATCTGCACCGGTATCAATAAGAAATATAATTTTGGTAGCTGGGTCTTTGATAAATAGGCGACAATTTCTGTGGCCAATATCATTCGTCACCATTAATGACTGGCCTGAGAGTTTTCCTTTTGATGCAACATTGAATATTCACAAGGTTCTAGACATTTTGTAGCATTCTCCTTGTATCGGCGATGGTAGTAGCAAATATTTGTTCGTTTTCCATATCTTGATTCTGAACTGCTTCGTGATCTTGACCAATCGCGACGTTGGAAATTTTTTTTATCAAGTGTTCCGTTCAATTTTTCGATGAGAAGATCGATTTTATTCTCGATGGATTGGGATGAGGATTGGGATGGAGGAGAGTTCCTAATAGAATTAACCTGATCTGCGAAATGCGTGCCTTTCATCATACCATCTGCCATGCTGATCAGTTCATCGTCGGATAATTTCTCTTGAAAAGCGCGAATCAGTTGTTCGACAGTTTGTGGAAGTTTTTTGAGCCATGCCAATACAATAAAATGTTTGGTCATTTGACCTGAGGCTAGATCAGTCATCTCTCTGTAGAGTTGGCTTGGTTTTTTATCACCTAGTTCACACTCAGCAAAGAGTTTGATCATCTTTTCTTCTGCAGAAATCTGATACATTTTAATGAGCTGTTGTTTCAACATTTGATATGCATTGGGATCATTCTGAAGTTTGAATAAATTAGAATTTTCCTTGGCTAATGTACAGTCCAACATTGAAATAACTTTACCAAACTTTACCTTCTCCGAATGAACTCCATTAATGTCAAAAACTGTTTCCACCGCATTGAACCAAAGTTCAGGTTCATGTTTCCAAAACACAGGTAGGGTAACTGATTTCATGCGATTGTATTGAATTTCGAGGTTTTCATTCTGATTTGAAATGTTTGAGGAAGAGGTAGATGGTTGATCAATATTGTCAATTCTTGGCACAGAATTTTCTATGAATGTTTTTATCAAATTTTCCAAATGTTCAAGTTTCTCTGAAAAACGTACACACAAATATTCCAAATTGTTGACTTTCGTTGACAAGAGCGACATTTCACGATCTATATTATCCTTATCATGGTTTGTATTCTGCTCTATTTCTTCGAGTATGTCGGAATAATCGAAATCATTTGGATTCTTCAAATCTGGATACTTTTCTCTTATGAAACCTTCCAGAGTTAGTTTCATATCGGATACCGTTCCACCAGAAGGTAACTTGAAATGTTGCAGTACATTGAGCAGTTGCTCTTTTTTGATATTTTGTATAAGTAGAACCATGTTCTTTCGGGGTCACCAGATGTTGGACTAATTCAAGTTTCAATTCTACTTTTTTAATAATTGACAACAAATTGACATAACATAACTCTCTATCCAAAATACAAAAATACAGGGTGCCACAAACTAAAAATAATTTTTAAAATTTTCGAAGGCTCTTGATATGAGCCTCCGAATGCTCAACTTTTTCCCCATTTAACCGACTTCGTATCTCTTACCGTTTTCGAGATCCCCATGCTGTTCAACCTTATCTTGGACACAGTGTATTCCTTCTTGGTTCGACCCCCTAGGAGGGGTAGATGTTACCCTTAGAATCTAAAATGAGAAGGAGAGTCAAATGGCACATAATTTTGAAGGGCGTTCAATTCCCTCCAATGGTACCCCTAGTTCATAATTTTCAGTTCAGCAGTGTCCAAAAAATGCCGTGTCAATTAAAAAACTTCCCACCCTTGATATTTCCCTTCCAGTAAATAATATGAAAAATCGAAAATACTGTTCAATTTTATTTTCAAGAGGAACACTTTGAATGCTCATTGTTGCGGAGCGAATAAAATAGCGAGGAAAAAGAATTTTGAGCAGATAGAAAAATGTTGAATTTCTTGGCGGGAAAGTAATGAATTGCAATTATATCCAAGAATTAAAGCGTATAGCACTCAGAGACTTACAGAGTGGTCGATATTCGGCTGTTGGTTGATTGTTTGCAGCTAGGAGTCCACTTAACACTGAGTCTGTCTTGACGGGGTACACAATACAACACTCACATAATTATATCGATTAACTGCAGAAGACTGAATGTTGAGACCAAAGGTAAAAATGTTCGTACAGTTTCATCATATTCAAGAAAAAATGATCAGGTTGTGATCATGGCGCGATATGGTCACGTTCGCTGGACAAGACTGCTGACGAAAAAGTGCTCTGAGGCACCTGTTGAGCTTGCGTAGGTCATGTGACAACCGGACAGCGATGTATGATCTCCTGGTGCTATACTTTGCGCGCGAATAATTCGAATCGTTAACAAATTCAAGAAAAATTACTAGTTCCACAACACTCATTTTAAGCCCTCATGGTTCAATCCCCTAGGAGGGGTGAATGTTACCCTAAGAATCACACTTGAAAACGGAGTAAAATGGCACATTGTTTTGAAGCACGTTCAATTCTCTCTTCAACAGTACCCTAGTTTATCATTTTTTGATGAGCAGTTTCCCAAAAATACCAAATTTACATAAGTAATAAGCACAGGCCTACACTGAGGTGCATGATTTGCAGGTAAGTATTATTATTAATTGTATTGACTCTCCTTTCAGTCCAAATTATTGGAAGATTTTGAACTGAAAGGAGAGTCAATACAATAATACTAACCTTAAAACCATGCATCTCAGTTCTGATTACTTCTGTAAGTTTTTGACGGCATGTTTCGGAAACTGCTCATCTAAATATGATAAATAAATGGAGAGAGAATTGAACACTCTTGAAAATAATGTGCATCTTGACCCCCTTTTCAGAAGAGGTTCTTAGGGTAATATTTACCCCTCCTAGGGGGTTGAACCATGAGGGCTAAAAATAAGCATTCAACGTGTCCCCCTTGAGAATGAAATTGAACTGCTTTCGATTTTTCATATTGTTTACTGAAAGGGAAATATTAAGGGTGGGAAGTTTTTAAATTGACACGGCATTTTTCGGACACTGCTGTACAGAAAATGATAAACTAGGGTACCGTTAGAAAGAGAATTGAACGCCCTTCAAAATGATGTGCCATTTGCACCTCCTTCCCATTTAAGATCCTAAGGATAACATCTACCTCTCCTAGGGGGTTGAACCAAGAGGGTTAAAATATCAATTTTAGGTGTCCTCCTTGAAAATGAAATTGACCTGTCTTTTCGATTTTTCATATTGTTTACTCGAAGGAAGATGTTGTTGAGGGTGAGAAGTCTTCAGAATGTCACCACTATGTGAAAATTTCAACCCAACACTCACCGCGGTACTGTCGCCAACCAACTCTTCGCTCGACTCCACAGGTGGAGCACTCAACTCCACAGGTGGCGCACCCAACTCCACAGGTGAAGCACTTGACTCCACAGGTGAAGCACTTGACTCCACAGGTGGAGCGCTCGATTCCACAGGTGGATCACTAGCAACCGGCTCCACAAGCAAACTAGGAGCGTTTTCAGCTATGACTGTGTCGTCTTGCTTGCTCTCCTCGGAAGTAGCGACGACGGTTTGATCGGCGAAATCGGGCGCGATGACGTCACTCTTCACTTCCCCATCCTCGTTTCTGTATTGCGGCGGTAATGGAAACACGCACCTCGACAGCGGATGATTCAAATACTCCGTCAACTCTTGTTGCGACATCGGATTCGATGCTTCGTTGTCAGAGACGCACTTGGTTTTATCAAAATCTCCAGGGCTCAGAGGCGATTCCACTTCCGGAGGCAACGATCTGTCCAAGAAGGAATTCACGTCTGTCGTTGCTATGGACTCTGTGTCTTTCGGAGAACTGATTTGAGGTTCTTGAACTGGGGAAGAAGCCACAAAGCTGTCTTGGATTTCGTCCACAGGAGAAGAGTCATCATCTTTAACGGAAGTAGTCACTTCTTCCTGCGGAGATTCCGGAAGTTTCAAGTCATCGCTCGGATGACAAAGTTCCTCGAAGTGTTTCTGTGCTTCGTCTAGCAATTCGGGTCCCGTGAAATCGGGTGAAGGAACCCGCTCACATGGTGCAATTGGTGATATACCTCCGGATTCTGGCAAATTTGCTTGGAGCAAATCGTCGATCTCTGATGCAGCAGGTGCTTCCAATTGACCAGTGACTTCTGCTTCCGGTTCGCCCAATAGGTCGTTCACCTCAGTAGCTTCTGGTTGACTAACATGTTCACCAAGTTCACACGCTTGAGGCTCTGGCGATATTATTTCTACGTCTGACGGTACACTATTTGATAACATGTGTTCGCTTTCTTCTGGTTTTGATTCGGGGGTTATCAATTCAACTCCTGCGGGGATGGTATCGGGTTCTGGTTTTGATTCAGGCGATATCAATTCAACGTCGGTCGCTAAGTTGTCAGTTTCGGGTCCAGCTTCAGGATTTATCAATTCAACGTCTTGCGGCAGGGCATCCGATTCAGAAACATGTGTTTTTCCAACATGACAGAATTCGTTACCGAGTAGGTTTTCGTGTGTTGGCTCCGGCGTTTTAGCAAAATCAGGCTCTTCAATGCCTATTCCTAAATCTTCTTCGTTTTCTAAATCGAAAGGTTCCCGATGGACTTGCACTAGCTCTTGTTTGTTGTGCTGCAATTCAATTTCGTTTTCGGCCTCGGAAAGATCCTTTTCCGATTCCAGCGGGTCCTTTTCAGAGTCCGTGAATTCCTTTTCTGGTTCCAGGGGGGAAGCGAGTTCCTTTTCGTTATCGTAGGCTTGTTTGTCCAAATCGGTGGTCTGGATAGCGTCATCGTTGTTCAATGAAAGACCAATCGATGGATCGTATTCAGGTAGATCCGAGATGGTGTCGTCCAAAAGTCGCTCGTTATCGGGTTGTTGCAAGGGTTGTATATCGGGTTGTTGCAAGAATTCGTCCAGGTCGTCCGGTAACACTTGAACCTTGTTCAAATCGAACGGATTTGTATCCTTTGTGTGGGCATAAAATGACATCGACATGGGGTCCGATTCCTTGTTGAGCACCTTCAAGTCGGCATTTTCTTCGGGAGTCACCAGTTCTTGTGCTGTTGACTCGTTGAAGGAAGTACCTAAAGTTGCCAAGGATTCGTCTCCGAAAATTGCTTTCGTCGATAAGACTGTTTCCGATTGGTCCAACGATTTGATGGGAGTGAAAGGAGCAGCATTCGGCCCAAAGTGGAACTCGTCGCTGAACGTTCCTTTTTTGGGGGTGCTTCCCGGCTGGAATTCTGGAATATCGTCGATATTTTTTCCGTTCAATATGCTCTCCATTAGATCAGTGGGTGTCGTTCGATCCTGAAAAAAAATAAGGAGAATTAGAAGGTTTCATGATCATCACACTAGACAATATAACTTGTTTCATCTTGAAGCTGCAAATTCTAAACTTGGGCAAAAAAAGTTTACACATGAGGCGATTTCGAAATTCAATAAATTACCAGATGATATCAAAAACAGCCCAAATATTATGCAATTCAAAAATAAAGTTAAGAAATATATTTATATGCAAAGGAATGATCAAAGCTGAAAGACCATGAATTTCCTTTTTTCTTTTTTTTTCTTTTCTTCACTGTTTTTATTTTTCCCCTTATCGTTCACTATAATATGACTGTATCTTAATGATATGTAAGTTTTGTTCACTATTTGTAATTTCAATTATACAACAGTCGATAATACTTCATGAATGATCTTATACCAGGAATTACTGTCTGATCATTCATGTCATTCCTACTAGAAAATTAATTATACTTTATATATTATTTGTATGAAATGTATCAATGAAGAAAAGAATGTAATGCAATAACTGAAATAAAAAATAAAAAAAAAAAAAATCATCCTTCAATTCCCTTCAAGACAAAATGTTTGGTTAGCAAAGAATTAACAAATAGGATGAGAGTTCTCAAATAAGCTATTTCAAGGAGAGTTCGACAAGGCTCAGATCATTACGCATATCTCCATCTGTGGTTGTTGGAATTTCAATGCATTTATTTGTGTCAATGATCTGTAGGATATGCCATGGTTATGCTGCCTGTGAAGTATTATTTCAAAAATTATAATGACTAATATAGAGATAAAAAAACATGGAAAAGATGAAATTGCGAGCTTTTCCAATTATCTGCCAGTAGTTGCAATGAAGGTGAGGTATACGAATTTCTGCAATTTTTCTTCAATGAATTGAGTTATCTTTACTTCAGCTCACCTTCACTCAAAGGATCACTAGTGACTGATGGTTCATTTTTGAATACCAATTCAGTATTTCAATGGAATTGAGTTGACAATAGATTGTAACTGGATTGAAACGCCGATAATAGTGCATGTAAGACTCATATGATACACCAACAAATCAATTATATAAAATAACTGAATCATTCTCATTAGAAGAAATGTTCAAAATCGAAAGACTGAAAATTACATACAATATCATAAATAAAAGATTGAAATCTAATTTTATTTTAACACGAAACAATGAAATTCATAATTATCAAACTAGACAACATGGTTTATTTCATCTTGATATCGCTAATACTTCTATAGGCCAAAAAAGATTCACCCACGCTGCTCTCTTGGAATATAACAAATTACCAGATAATATAAAAAATTGCAGAAATACAATAAAATTCAAATACCATCTTAAAAAATTTATCATTTCTGAACGAAATAGATGACTTACTTTTGATTCATATTGAAATTGATTTTTGCTCAGCAATATGAAATGATTTGTCAAAATTTAATAATTAATGTTTTCAAATATTTTATTGTTCATCAGTTTATTATAATTGTATAGTTTTAGGTATTATTGTTAACTATACTTCCTTATACCAGAACTTGATTCTGACTGGAAGTAACATTTTCAATAAATAAATAAATAAATAAATAAAAGGTACCTATGACAAAGATACCAATGGCATATCGTAACGACGTTTGAAATTGGGTTAGGCATCACTTCAGGTTTGATTTTTGTGAATATTTTTATTACTAAATTTACAGAATTTTCATTAAATTGAAATATCAAAAGGGAAACACAACATGCAGTTTTTCAATAATCAATAGATACAGTGTTTCTTATTATCAACAGAGCTAACAAAACACTAACATGTACAGTCGTATTAAAAAAAATCGTACAAGTATATTGGAGGGAAAAAATAATGTCATCCTATTTACGTTAAACGGGTTATCGGGAATGAATGTTTACCAAATGTTGACAGTAGAGTAATCATAGGTTCCCAAAAACACAAAGCATTGGCTGAGACAATTTTACACAACGAGCACTAGAATGCCGAAATCTTCTATGTTCAATACTTGTACGCTTTTTTATTGAATACGACTGTACCTTCAAATGAGTGGAATAAACGGTGAAACAGATAAACATCATCACTTGATTATAACTACATATATGGAACTGACACAGCCATTCTGGCATAATCAAAAATGAAATAATAATAGTCATCAGCTCTAGTCTGCACATGAAACCATGCTCCAAATTTCCACGAATTCAAATGAAAAATATACTGTTAGAACATAATTGGAAAGTTCCCTGTTAAAAGATAATTAAATGATACTAGATGATTTTCATTTCAAATTATGAATAATATACTTGTTATGACTCCAATTCCACCTTATATTTGAATTCTATGAAGTGAAGAAAGTTTTTTTTAAATTATGAATAATCAAATCATGTTACCGATGATCTCACTTGATATCAATGTCTCAGATGAATTGGGCACTATCTTTATCATACTGAGGGTTCAATAATATATGAACTCACTTCCCATATTATTCACAGAATCTTATCACAGTTAATTATAGCGAAATTTTATGAGCATGTTGATAATAATAAGGTGATAAAGTAACTGTACACCATAACAATCCATTCATACTCTATAAAACTTACTGATATGGTACTGGTATTTCTGTGGCTGTGAATGGTCTTTAGAAACAGCGTGGTTGGTTATAAATGAATTCACACTGAGAATATATTTTTATGTACAAAAAACATAGGCGACAGAAAGATTTGAGATTGAATGCAAATTACGTGTTATGCAGGATTTGGGAACTAAATTGATAAAAATAAAAATGTCGCCTATCTCTTGCACAACATTGTCAACATGAGTTGGATAATAAACTGAGATCATTCTCCATCAATCATCATACTATCGTAATATTTCCTGACAGAAAAATTCAATAGGAGTGAACGTCCGAGACGATCCATCATTGAGTCAAGCAGTGAAATAGGAAAGGTGTGATAAATCACGAAGATGAATCTGAATCCATCATAGAAGAAAAATATCACTTTCAAGAGACACCTATTGTGGTGGAAAAATATATTAAGAATAATAATAATTGGGAATGCAAGTATGAGAATTATTGAAAGGAAATAATGTGACTTTGTGACCAATCAGTAGAGTCAACTGTCAGAATGTTTTCCAATAAACACCACTAGTGAAGAGTATTGCTCAATAAGCATCAACATTACACTGTGTCTAGGAACTCTTGAAACATCATCAACATACTGAAGTATTTTATGGAACTGCACCAGAGAATATGTATGTTCAATGGTGCTGTGTGAGTTCTTTTTCTCTCACTACATCCTTTGTTCGTCATCGTCGTTATGACCATTGCAGTATGAATCCACCTGGCTGTGACCTTTTTCTTTTCTATTTGATTTTCAAGTGTTTGGGATCACAGGTTAAGAGGTAAGGCCCCCGTCATTCCTTGCTTCCACAAGTATATTGAAGACTTCTGAGGGTCGCTCGTACCGAAGGGGAGGGGGGTGAACCGAATGACGGACAGAACAATTTGACGTTGGGCGCCAATATAACATTGGATGTTATGTTAAACAGTTCGTGGGTACTTAGATTGGTATTATTGAACGACGACGTGCGAATACTTTTTTATTAATTATATCAAGTCATATCTCAAATATGCTTGCTTCTATGGAAACACTAAATTCTTCAATAGCTAGTGTGAGACGAGGTGTGAGAGGCATTTAGTGGTAAGGCAGACATGAAAGGGTTGTCCTTAGGCCGGTTTTAGGTCATGGGTTGTGACACTACCATTTTGTTTTATATCTATACTACTTGTAATTTTCTAGGTACTTCTTTCATTGTGCATGAAGATGACCGTAGAGCCGAAACTATAGTCACACGCTGATTATTTTTATATTAAATACTGTGGTCGACCGACTTTGAGTTCGTTTTTTTCTCCTGTTGAAAAATACTGGACCACTTCGAGAATGGATGGTTTCCATGACTTATTACTTACGTCATCGTCGTTATGTCCGTTGCTGTAAGACTCCACATCGCAGGCTCCTGATTATTTTTATAATAAATACTGTGGTCAACCGACTTTGAGTTCGTTTGTTTTATCCTGTTGAAAAATACTGGACCACCTTGAGAATGGATGGTTTCCATGACTTATTACTTACGTCATCGTCGTTATTTTTATAATAAATACTGTGGTCAACCGACTTTGAGTTCGTTTGTTCTATCCTGTTGAAAAATACTGGACCACCTTGAGAATGGATGGTTTCTATGACTTATTACTTACGTCATCGTCGTTATGTCCGTTGCTGTAGGACTCCACATCGCTGGGCCTCGATTTCACCTCCCTATCGAAATCGGCCTTCCTCGGCACCTTGATGTCGATGTTCATCGGCCTTTTCGGCGACTGCGCCAACACCAGATCGTTCATTAGGCGGCAGGACGATGGAGATGGGATACTTCGCGTGGGCGACACTGGCACAAATTCGGCAGCGTTCGGGTTCAGCTGGGACATGTTGTCGTCCTCTTCGGGAATTTCGGCAACCTGGAAAAAACGATAAATTTTTTTTCTGCAACCGACACACAAGTCGTCCATTTTCATACCAAAATCAGCTATTGAATTGATATTTCTATTACTGATACAAACAGGCATACAACCACAGAGTGAAATATTCGTGTATGGACCAGGTGCTCTAATGGCAAAATATCGCGCCAATGCTAGGTATAGGAACAAGACGTGGAAAATGTTAGGTTAGTGAGCATATCAACAATAATAATAGCGATTATTCATTCCTCTCCATACTACACTGTGTTTTGACTTGATAATCAAATAGAGCTAAACAATATCGTTGTTTGAGTCAAAAAACTATTGCCTGCCGTATTCAAAAACACGTTATCTATCTCGAAAATAACGAATAAAATACAGATCAATCAAGTATGTGAATCTTGAAGGCTTCCCTGATCAAAACAAATATTCTTAACTGAGATGTGTATAATTTCTATACCCAACTATAATAAGGTGTATTTATATCTCCAGCATGGGTATGAAATGCCAAATCTGCCGAAATCGGAAACAAATCAGGCATGCTTGCTTGATCTGTATTTCATTTATTCTCGGAATCTGATTGATTGAGTCTTATTTTTGAAAAATCATGGCCAGCAATAGTTTTTTGTCTCACTTAACGATATTTTTGCAATTGCATTACCTCGTTGGTCCCAGCACTTGGACCAAACGCCCCATAAGTCGAAACTTGTGCAGAGTTAGGTGTAGTGTCCCCAACACTTTGTAGGTTCATGATTGCCATAACGATTTGGGGGACTTTGTTTAATAATCAATTCTCTGAATGATATGAGATTATGTCAATATATATTCCTATCAACTAATAAAGTACTATTATTCTATATAGCAGGGTTGAAAAAAAACATGTATTTTTTAATTTTATACAAAACACATGTTTTTTTTGTTTTAAACGGTTTTTTTTTGTTTTAAACATTGTTTTTTTTTGTTTCTGAATTTTATGATTTAAACAAATAAAACTTAGAAAAAGACATTGTTCAATTCAAATTTTTTCAAACATAATATTAATTCAGAGATTAATTCAAAATGTTTGATATAATAATCTTTAGTATTAGTCCACTAAATAATAGATTCCTTAGTTGAAGTCAGACTCTGTATACTAAACTAAACTGTCGAGGATGTGCCGGTGAATCCCCGAAATAAGAAAACCAATTGCGATGGGGACTGTTGGCCTGGGGGAACCACAGACCATTTATAAATTCGCATTGCCAGTGGGCTTATACAGTGTGTCCCACTTACCATGCTCACCATGGGTATCTTTTCAATGGTGAGAGATAGGAGGTCGGTTAAATGACACCAAATGTGGAGTTTTGTTTTGAACAAAAACTGTTTAAAACTTGAGCACATGTTTAAAACATGTTTAAAACAGTCGATTACAACAAAATGTTTAAAACAAAACAACCCTGCTATATAGGTAAGCAGACAAACACAAACATCCATGGCCTAACTAGGATTCGAACCTATGTCTCGGTGGGGTATTGTTTAGCTTCATTTGATTACCGAGCCAAACACAGTACAATTTGGAGAGAAATAAATAATCGCTTTTATTATTGTTGATATGCTCACTGACCTAACATTTTCCACTCCTTTTTCCTATACCTGGCACTGGCGTGGTATTTGCTATTAGGGCTGACACCTGGTTCAAATTTCATCAATTCATCGATTCAATAGAATACATTCACTTTAGTAGTATTTATATCGAAACTACAATTCGAACATCCTTGAAAATTGAATTAACCTGAGAACTGTAAATGCAGGTTGCATATTCTCACCACAAGGATTATTTGTTGCATTGTATACACGGCATCCACGTTTCGGAAATAGTATTGAATTCGTGCCTGTTGTAACAAAATTAATTGTAACAAAGTAAAGTAGTCTGATGTCTTGCTTATATCTAATTACTCATATTATAATAATTTGTCCAGTAGGTCACATTGGTGGTTACTTCACATATTTATTTTAGTTAATTCTTCCGGTTGCAGAAGAAATTACAAGTTTCATTCGGATCAAAAGTGACTGTAGTGACTCACAAATGTTTCTTTCGTTCAGCTTCGCTAGACGTTCCGCCTAGCCAATGCAAAATTCGCTTGTCAAACACAGTGTTTTTTTTAATGTTCTGGTTCCCACGAAAACGGATTTCCTGTAATGTTCAGAGAACATCGTAAGAACCAAGGGAAATGAGGTAGGAATTGGTGTCCTTCTTGAATTTCCGGAGGTTATATGCCTCGGGAAACACTTCCCTTGGCAATGTGAACGAGTCTTTGGAAAGAGATGTTCTGCAGGTCTCCAAAGTGATCATGAAGGGGTGCGAAGCCTCAACTCGACGGGTTAATCTCGCGGGGACTGCCAAGGGAAGAACAATTGTTGATATTTCAGAAGAGCATCGTCCATGAAAATATCTATAAAATAGAGGCAAGTCGCCAACTTTTCAACGGTGTTGCAGAGAAGTGGGTGAGTTTGTGAGCGAGGCATCACCCACGAGACGAATTGCCCTTTTTTGGAAAGAATCCAACAGTTTCAGGGTATGTTTGGGTGCTGCACTCCAACTATGGGAACAGTATTCCAGGACAGGTCGGATCTGTCCCTTATAGATCATAAGCAGCTGACTGGAAGTGGAATATCTCCTGGCCCGAAACAGAAAACCAAGTTTTTGGGATGCACTTTTAGCAATTGATCTCACGTGATTTTCCCAAGGAAGGTTATTGCTGACAGTAATATCAAGCATCGAAATGGATGTCTTCAAAGGTATGGTTACTCCTGACAGGCTTATGTTGGGCAAAGTGAGATCGGCTTTTCTAGAGAAAAGGCATGCTTGTGTTTTGTTTGCATTGAAATATACCAAGTTATTGGATCCCCATTCGAGAATTGTTCCCAAGTCCATATTTTCCTCGTTCGTTTCTGATTTGTCTGGCTGGTATTGAAGCCCTGGAAGAGAGGGTGGTATGGAGGGTACTATCATCCGCGAAACTGTGTACTGAACATGAGGTTGCTTCTGACAAATCGTTGATATGGAGTAGAAATAGTGTTGGTGCTAATATTGATCCTTGCGGAACACCAGCATTCATGATAAGAGAGTCAGATGAAACTACCTCGACCACTGAATGGAGAGACCTGTTTGAGATAAAACTAGCTAGCAGAGCCAGACTCGGTCGAATGCCTCGGAGATATCAAGTGCCACGGCTAAGGTTTCACTATATTTTTTAATGGATTGCTGCCATATATGTGAGACGTAAGCGAGCAGGTCACGGGTTGATCTCTAATGACAGAAGCCATATTGCCTATCGGTGATGATACCTGAATGTTCCAGGTATTTCATGAGCTCCATGTTAATAGCTTTCTCCATGATCTTTGAAATAAAAGATGGCAGTGCGATCGATCTTTAGTTGCTAAGTAGGGTCTTTTTGCCTCTTTTAGGAACTGGTTGTACTATCGCAATTTTCCAGTTGGATACTAATAAAACAATCGATTGTTTGACAAGTGATAAGTTTTAAAAGAGAATACTTTCTCCGGATAATATGTAAAGACACTGATGACAATTTTTGTTGTTGTGCTATCTCTGGAATATAAACACTGTTTCCGAGAAAGAATTTCATTATTCCAAAATTTTTTTGGGATTTACTATCCTCGTTTCTCTGGACGTTTCGGGAACGATTCTGCTCCCGGTTTGAGATGTTCAATGAAACGTGGAGAGAAAATCCCAAAAAAATTGGAGTAATGACTATACCACCTGCACGATTAACCTACAGACATTTATAAAGAATTTCATGTATTTTTCTTCGATTCCATAAATCTTAAATACGTGGTTTCATAAATTTTTCGCGATTTAGCTTGCAATAATTTTTGTGACACTACTCTGGTTGCTTCTACTAACTCCGGTGGAGTCAAAGAAAACTCGAATTTAGAAACTTTTGAGATGGATCCAGAATAACTACTAAGGAAAGTTCACAATGTTTGAATCTAATCACAGAACTAAATCAACAGAGATTTGATTATTTTCAAAGGTTTCCTTAGCAACGCAGGGCTAATTGTCCCTATAAGTACAACAGCCTACCAGATTAAAACATCAAATTTCACCGTATTTTTTTTCATCAGTGTATTATACATGGGAGACAACACAACCTCAAATCGGATACTTTAACCGTTGTATAATAACAAATTATTATTACATTCAGATTAGCACGAAATTAGGAATTGGTACATCAATAGGTGAGAGTGAGAAGATGATATCGTCGAGTCATCGGAAAATCCAACGTGAAAAGTATGATGCATTAGGATTATTTGATAACCGATAACAAAAGTGTTCTGATAAAGTTAATTAATGCAAAAATGTCACTATACAGTATTGGTAAGTACAATCAGAGTTGATATAAGTCATGACTTCAATAAAAAGGTTAGAAATGTCCGAATAGAATAAATTCGGAATTTCTTAATTATTTTAAAAAATTAACTTCATTTACCAAAACAAAATACAAAAAATCTTCGGATATTTCAGTTCAAACTAGTTAAAATTAAAGGTAATAATGCGATGTTACTATTGAAGAAAGGTTCACCAACTCAATTGATACCAACCCTGGGTACAAGAGAAGACTAGCAGATTTGAAGGTCGTCTTCATTACCCCACTGGTTCTGGTACTGGTGAAAGTGAGGGACGTTTGCACGTCACCAACTAGTCCCAAATGAACTTTATAAAACCACCAATGTGTAATGAGTAATGTGACTGACTTGAGAGCTGGCTAACACCCTTCTCTCTAGTATTCCGGTTGTATTTTGTAGGCTAGTAATGTATATACTCACTACCGTATGCTGTAGTGAAAGGCCTGCTAGCTACCCCATTAGACAGGGTTGGCAAATATCATGATATTTATATGTATTTCAAAATATCATAATATCGGATATATATCGGATATATATCCGATATATATCAGAAATTTCGATTTTGTTCCTAGGCTGATATGCCAAAAAAAAAC